CAGTAGCATCAATCTCTAATTAACTCCCCTTGAAATTAAGCATGATCAACACAAGAAAACCATATCATAATAGTTAACAAAATACTCCCCTCCCTCAAAGTTACACACACCCCACTAACCAATGAAACTAAAATGAAATACCTTATAAAAGGAAACCATTCAAGCAAGTTATAATAAAAGATGTCATGATTTCTAGAAAAAACCCCGAAACGTAGATTCACTAAAATGAGCAATCATACAAACTCAATTTACACTCCTTCCCTATGGATAGATTGATAGATGAATGGTAATTAGAAGTTTCAATATTTGACACAACCCAAAAACCCAACCCAAACCCGAACGAAAAATTTTGGGTCCGGGTCATCCCATTTGGAAAAAGAGTCGGGTTCTCGTCAACCCGAAAACCTAAAAGCAGCCCAGAACTAACCCTCTCCTACGCACGGGTCGCCTTGTCCTCATAGTTGCCTCACGCTCGAGGTCGCCTCGTGCTCGCCCAACCATGCACATGCACTTCTACTTGCCTAATCAATGCGGGTACACCAACCGAGTCAGCGAGTCGAGTCTGAGTTTGTGACCCGTTTAGCTAGTCATGTCAGCTAAGTTGTAGACAGTTCAGTTTCAGGTTGGAAACAAACCCAACCCAAAAACCCATTTTTGGTAATGTTGGATGATAAAAATAACATGATAAACCACTTGGGATGGTTTTTTTTTAATGCTTCACAAACTAGCTTGGGTCCATCAAATTAAAGAGATCTTTGGGGAAAACTAGTAAAACAAATGTAAACAACAAACAATTTTTCGTGTCAAACATAGTTTTAAACATTCTCAAATTAATCATCACCAAATTACTTTGGCAAAGTTATTGAGTCAGAATTGAAACCAAAAATTAGGAAAGAAATTAGAATCCATAGATCTAAAATATTGGACAGAGTAATGTAATAAGAAAAACTCATGCAAGAAAAAAAAAACCAAAAACTCAAAGAAATCTAAACCCAACAATAATATCTCCAATGTTTTGATTCCAAAAGTTTTATTTACTATATGTACTATATTGCCCACATGTGCATGACCTCTTATCCCAGCAACAACAATGCAACACCCATATTTACAAACTGAGCAACTTGACAAATATTAAAATGAAGTACAAGCGTGAAAAGTACAATATTATCACAACAATATAAAGTTTAATCTAGATAATCTATGTAAAGGTAAAATATTTGCAATAATGCTCGAGGAAGAGAAAGACGGTTGTGAGGACTCAAGATACTGCCATAAATTACATACTCTACAAGTAATGTTTCCAATTCCACCAAAACAAAACCACCTGCCACCAATTTCCAAGCCTCAACAAGTCAACAATCCCAAAATACTATTCCCATCGGTATCGAGCAACTCAAAACATAGTACAAATCTTGATGGATTCAAATTCTATGCAAAATTTAATTCAACATCAATTAGGGAATTACTTGGCATCCAAGTTGCACTCATCCCATAGTTCCATATTCTAGTCAATAACTATGAGACGTTAGAATGCAAAAACAAGCTTGCAGGTATTCTATCACGCTTAAAAGGGCGTCACTTGCTAGTTAACCTAGGGGCATCACCCATACAAGGAGCCAAAGTGGTTAACCAATGGTTACAATTAATTGGCAATGTCACAACCAACTATAAACATCTACTACTCATCCGACAAAACAACTAAACTAAATAAGAAGGCCAAAGTTCATCCTGAATTCATGATAATCAACTTAAAAAACCTCAATATCAAGGATCCATATCATCACTTTTTTAACTAACATCACTGATGCATGATACTCCGCAAGTCACCAAAATGCCATTCCCAACTCCAGATCTCATTCAAAGAGTAAATATAGCAATTCATTAAATCATTGTATTCAACATCTAACTACCACCAGCTTCCAAAGATGATCATCAGACATTGCTCTATCCCAAGACACGTCTAATCAATGTTATGCCATATCGTTATCAATAGTTTCATAAGGTTACCATAGAAACATGATCTTTAAAATGCTATAAATCAAAGTCATCCAACCCATCACCAGCACTTTCTCATCACCTGTTTTGCTTGTCAAGGACAAAACCTAGAGATTTTACAACAATTACCAAGCACATAATCAAGTTACCACTCCCACAGCAAAATGCTTGGCAAATTATTTGGAGCATCAATCTACTCTAATCTTGACTTGCATGTTATTTATCATAAAGTACAAAATGGCTAGTAAAGACATACCAAAGACTGCATTCTGCACTCATGAGGCCATTACGAGTTCACAATAGTGACTTTTTGGTTTAACTAACATTCCAAGAACTTTTCGAAATATCATAAACACCACATTAAAGTCACACTGAAGCAAATTTGCTACAATTTTTTTAGTGATATTTTAGTATAGAATAAGACACTATCAGAGCACACCACCCTTTCTCATCACCTATTTTGCTTGTCTAGATGAAAAATGGAACCTAGAGATTTTGTGTTGATTATCACACAGACACATTTAATCAACGTACCATTCCCAGCCAGTTCCCCATTCCCACAGTAGATAAAATTATTGACATATAACTTGGAGCAATAATATACTCCAAACTAGACTTGCATGACAGTTATTATAAGGTATGAATAGCTATCAAAGACATAGCAGAGATCACAAGCCTCACTCATTAAGATCATTGTGATAGTTTATCGTAATGCATTCTAACTTAATGAACACTCCATCCACTTTTAAAATATCCCCATCATTATTTTAAAGCTATAATTACGCAAGATTGTCACAACATTTTTTATGATATTTTAGTATATGGTTAAACATAGTTGAAGCACAAAGGAATCTCAAAAGTGTTTTGACTTCCATTCAAGACAATATGTTCAATCTCAATAAAATAAATGTTTTTTCAGCCTAACAAAGATTGACGATTTGGATCATATAATTAACTCACACGGGATGTGCCCAAAAGACGTTAAGATTGAATCTATATAAAGATGGACCACTACAAAGATTCTAAAATTGCTCTAAAGCCTCATCAAGTTAGTGGGCTATTACCACAAGTTTGTCAAGAACTTTGCCAACATACCTAGGCTACTATGAGCTCCCCTTCATAAAAAAAAATGCCTTCCATTGGAGCCCCAAAACTGCTACAGCTTTATTTTCCTTGAAAAGAACAACGGAAACAGCTCCAACACATTCACTACCTCCGACAAACTATTTACTCTAGATGTAGTGCTTCAGGATTTGGGATTGGAGTGATTTTTTATCAAGAGAGAAAACCCATCGCCTCTTATAGGAAACTAAACTAATAAAGTAACATGTCTTCACTTACGTGCACCAAATGTTCACTACTATGAAAGAAATAATGAAATGGAGATAATATATATTGGGAGCAATCCATATCATATGAGAAGACAAAAACAACATTCAAAAACTAATGAGACAGGCATTGCAAAGGCCAGAACAATAGAGTTGCCTACTTAAGTTGCTTGGCTATAACTTCCAAATCCAATAAAAATCGGGCAATACTACTAAATTCGCATACGCTTTCTCATAAATGATTGACAAAAATGACAAACTACAACACATAGGTGAATTAAACATGACCATCAATGCACCCATAACCCACCTGATGGAGAGCTCCAACTTGCAATCAATTTGCCGCCATTTCAAGCACTGTATGAGAGACTATCGCTAACCCTACATCCTTATACAAGGAAAGAATCTATAGTTAATGTTGTCAGAGAATTTATCAAAAGCATGGATAAAGCTCCCATACAATCAAAAGATCCTCAAAGAGTGCGATTTAACAAATAAAATGAAAAATAGCTGAACATCAACAAGAACAAGAATTTCTAGTCGGTAACTTGGCTTTGGTAAAAATGTGGCCTTATTGTCAAAAGTCCGTGAGCTAACAATCCTTAAATAAAATGGTAGCAAATGCTATATCCATTATTAATTATGGAAATAATATGCATTATCCCCTATAAAATAAATTTGCGCAAGCAATTTTACATACACCTTGCACGAACCATACCATAATAATGATCTGCACACCACAAACTCCCATCCACCTCTTGGTAAAACCACCCTCTGGTTCAAAAATGTGCTAGAATCATCTGAAGACAACTTTCAAAGGACTATGTTATCAAGATCCAATACCTTGTAGAATGGGATGACTTATCATGAGAGGATGCCAATTGGGTCCTCGATGATCAATTACTCAACATTTTTAGTCACATCGATATCAAGGACAAGGCCATCCTTAAAGGAGAATGGGAAACTAATAAGTTCCAAAAAGGAAGATGGAATACAATCGATGGAAACGCACACTTTAACAAGTAGCAACGGCAAGAGGAGGACAAAACGGGTGTTTCCTCCAATTTGGCTAAGAGGCTTCCATGACGGAAAGGGGTGACATGGATGCTGCCTTGGGTGAGAAAAGAGAATAATAATAAGTCTCTTCTAGTTGTTAGCTACTACTGCATGTACCCTTCTGCTGATTGTAGGAAAGCATGGTGGAATGTAATCAATATAAGCAGAAGTGGATGGTGGGGAGAGGTCATATAAAAAAAACTATGATACTTTTCTCCTTAAAGTTATCTTCTTGTTCTTCCCCTGTTTTCATTCCTTGTAGAGTTAGAGACAACCTTGAATGTGCCTCAAGTTATAGCAATATTCATTGATATTACCTGTTGGCTATTCAAAAATGTTTGTTACCTAACACATTTTGATTACAGTTTCCGCAACCAGCATAAGATATTACAGTTCAAACTTTCAGCCGAAGAGAAGAACAGCAAGTATCTACACTAAAATAGAGACAAAATAACAGTGTTCACATGAAATACAAACTTTAGTTAGGTGTATAATTCCCTACAACTTAAACGAGCAATATGTTAGATAACTACAATTACAGAATAATTTTTTTATTTCCCCAAAAAAAGATACCAGATGCTAGAGCGCTAAATTGTAGGTTGCTTGCAGATTAACTGAAAATAGAACAACACAATGCCGATCTTCATTTCATAGAAGCAAATCATCAATAATTTGCAATAAAAGTCCCGTCCAACAAGCAAAAGCACACAAAAACACACATAGGACACTTAAGGGAAATTGAATGAACAAATGAAGCGTTTTGTGATCCAAATTATAACATGTGTGAACAAGAACATCAGTAAGAGACAAAATTCACCAATTAGGAAAAAAAAAGGATTAGAGCGACCTCAACCAAAAATTTTCAATTTGACCGGAAAATATACAGGTTGAGAAATTTCTCAACCTAACGGTACGACTTCTGGAACCTGGCTCGGGCACCACGACCACCGAACTTCTTTGGCTCACAACGTCGGGGATCGGCGACGAGAAGGGTGCGGTCGTACCTGATGAAGATATCCTTTACTTCCTTCTTCGAATGCTCGTCAACAAACTTCTGGTAGTACGCAACGAGGGCCTTGGCGATGCTCTGGCGAATGGCGTAGATCTGCGAGGTCTTACCGCCGCCCCGCACGCGGATGCGCATGTCCACGCCGCGGAAGCGATCAAGGCCAGCGAGAAGGATCGGCTCGAAGGCCTTGTAGCGTAGAATTTCCGGCTTAACGAGCTCGATGGGTACTCCGTTAACCTTAATGAGGCCCTTTCCCGCCTTGCAGTGAGTCACGGCAACCGCTGTCTTCTTGCGACCAAAGCATTGGACCGATTTGGTGATCTCAGTCGACGCCATCTTCTTCGTTGTGTCACGAGCGCTGGAGAGACCGGACGGGGTAGTTTAGCAGGAGTGAAGCGGCGAATATTTCATTGATCAATATATATGAGTAGGTAGGGCTAAGCGGGATTCTGACTGATCACAACCGTGCATTTTATCATGAATGGCTAAGATCAAGTCTATTGATTTTTTTTTTTTTTTTTTTTGCGGCGTTTGAAATTTTTTTAGCGAAAAACATATAAAGCACTGATGCTTATGCAACCCGAATTACATCTTACTATAATCCATTCATTCAATATGTCGGATAGGTTTTAATCATCTGTTGGGCTTTATAAGTTCATTATATAAATTTTTATTGATTTTAAATTTAGAAGAGGTCAGGATCCTCTGGAGTGAGGTTGATCATTATTTTTAGGTATTATTTTATTTGTGTATTTTAGTTATTCTTTTATAGTCATGAATTTTAAAATGATAGATTGATGTTTGATGTAATCTTTTGGCTATTATAAATCTTTTGTTTGAACAATTGAATATAGAAAGGTTTTGATGTATATGATTTATAGCTCTTTTTGTAGGGTTTATTTTTATTGATTGAGGCTTAGTGGTTCTAGCAGATTATTTAAGAGATAAAATAGACAATTCTTCTAAAATTTAATCTTGGGTTGTGACCTATATACTCTTAGATAATATAAATCATAAGTGGAAACAATAATGTTTTAGTTACCACTTAACTAAAGAGACCAGGGCTCCAATGACCTAAATTGATGAAACCATCTAAATATTAATTTGATTTATCATCTAAATCATTGATTTGGGCCTTTATATTTTATTACTCTTGCATTTATTATATAATTTCAATATTATAAGTCGTGGTTACTAAATAAGGATCCTCGGATTAAGTTATCCTTTTAGGATAATTATGGTTACAATAACCATTGATGATGTGATCATAAGATATTGAGTGTGTTCATCTTGTTAATCCCATTCATCCCTTTGTCAAGGCAAGTGTGACCATATAGCACCATCTCTAGCATGAGCATCCCCCCTCCTAAGATTGTAAAGTTATAAATCCCTACTTCATGTCAAATTCAAGTATCCATTGACCCTATCCTCTTTAATTCTAAGTAAGTAATCCTCATATCTTTTTAGTATAGTTGACCTAATTTTGATAGATTTTTATATAGGATGTTTTATGTTTAGGGCCCAATTAAGCATAAAATATTTAAAGTCATCCTAAATATAAGCATCATTCCATAATCAAGAGTGTTTTCAACCATGCTTGTAATGTAAATAATTTTACGAGGTTGCTCCTTTGAGAATTATCAACACCCCTAATCAAAATAAATTATATTTTTATTCTTATTTCATTCAAGGAAAAAATATTAGAGATACATAAATTCGAGTTATTTGTATAGATGTGATAAGTCTTTAGTGTGCATTGATCGATGAGAACTAGTCCTTTATTATAATATTGTGGGCATATTTTGGAGACAGTAAGGGATAAAATTAGGAGTTCCCTATTTTTTTGTAATGATTAAGATCAACATTTAAAAAAAGGACATAAATAAATTATTTTTAGAATATAAGAAGGTAATTTTATTATGAGAATTCACTCCCTTCATAATCAAAGATAATTGAATCTATTATAGAGATTTGACTCAAAATATTTAACTTTAAAATCAGCTTGATTCTAGAAATAAACCTATATGATTGTAATTTTATGTTAACAAAACCCATCATAAGGTGAAACTCATAATAATAATTAAGATCCTATTATGTTGGTAATTTTACTCCAAACATAAACTAAGGAGTATTACTTATATTTCATATCAAAATTTAGAAATTTTAGAATATTAATTTATTATATAATGTAATGAATCTATTATAGAATATTAATGTGTTTAGTGGCGGCCTACCCAAAATGATCGTCTTTTGGTTTGTTGGTGAATAAGACCATCAATAACAGTGAAAGCCAATCATTATATTACCATTAAATCTTAAGATGGTGATCTAATAATTTTTTCAACCTTTTAACTTAGTTTTTTTAGGTATTGTGAATAGAAAAAATTTATTGTTCAGTCTTTGAAGCTTTATAACTTATTAAAGAAACCAATCTTTAAGGATTTTGCATTTCTAAGTACTCAATGACATGTTCATGTGCATGTTAACTCTTTTAATTATGATTTTATGATAATCTTATATGTCAATATATCATTCAAGTTGAGAACTCAAAATGTTTTTTTGTCTTTGTAATAGAGATGCTCAATAATTTTCTTAAAACCCTAAATTATAATTTGTAGCAGGTGATTGCATCATAAGGGGTGAGCATGCATAATTTTTTCTTGATTTGCTTATATTAAATCGTCGCCTTAAGTATAATTAATTTATATATAATTGGCATAAGGAATTTTACATTAAGGTCTAGACTTAGATGCCTCATTTTGATTTTAAAAACTATTCATATTGACATGCAAATTAATATAATAATGGCTTGCAAGAATTAATGTTAATTTTCATCATATTATCTTTTGCTTGTAATTTTTTATTTACAGTGGTGATGATCATCAACATTTATTCAATCATTTGTAATAAGCCTAGGAGATTTCATTTAGTGTCAATTTTGTCACTAGTGTATTGAAATTTGGTCTTTAAATGTTGTTTGGCTTTGTTTGGCTATGAACTTAGTTAACTATGTCCTTTATGTGTAGAAAGCCAGATCTTTAATAATCAGTGAACTATGATACTTCTCCGCTCAACATTCATCTATAGTGGATAGGGCATTAGCAAATTATTGAACTCCAACCTATCTATACTCTGCCACAAATGTAGAGAATGAGCCTTGAAATTGGACTTACAACTTCACTAAATGGAGAAGCCTAACAATTAAAACTTACGATTCTTTATTATGTATTGACAAACCAATCCAAAGAATAGATTTATATTTAAAAGACCTTGAGTGATGCATCATAAAAAAGCATTACCAAGTACTTTGTAAGAATCACTACTTGAATTTGTAATCCCCAAATCATTGTACTATTGTAGCATGTTTGATTGATTGAGAGAATTATAATCATGTTCTTGGGATTATAAAAATCTTTTGGACGCAAAAAAAAAAAAAAAAAATCAAATTCACCTCTTATATGAGGATGATCAAAATTTAATGGACCCTATATTTTTTTAGTTTAATGTTCATTAGAATTTGGCATATTTAGATGATAGTACTATTATAATCATTCATATAATCATAGATTAAGTCAACATAATTAAGTTTGATTACATAATTAATTAAATTATAATGAATAACATAAGTACTTTGATTATGTTAAAGAATTGAGTGCATCAAGCAATTTTTTTTAGTTATGACATAATAATGATGCAAAATATCCTAAGACTTATAAGCACAAAATAGGATATTAATCCATCATCTATCTATACACAAATTAAATATTTTAGCTAATAAAAAATGCAATGACACTGTACAGAGAGACATTAGACTGGCCTGCCCAATTTACTAGCACAAATCTCTCAGCAAATATGTGACTTCGGGCCACCTTAACCTTCTCTTTTTTGCTTGATATGGGGCTTGTTTTAGATGCATGTAAGATTAAATTTAAATAGAATTTTGTAAATCCTCTAAATCTGAATTTACTACTCTTGAGAGGGTTAAATCCTAAAATTTATTTGATAAGAAATATGTTAAATTTTGACAAACTCTAAATATGAATTTACTAGTCTTGAGAGGGTTAAATCCAAAAAATTATTTGATAAGAAATATGTTAAATTTTGACAAATTATATGAGACAATTTGACAATGCTATACAGAATTTAAGGCATGAACTAATATGATCTTTGTGTTTGAAATATGAATTACTTATTATTTCTAATTTTAAGTCCGATGATAGGCAGAAATCGGGTGTCAGGTAGAAATCCGGCGATGGTCAGAGGACGGGCATAACTCCATAGTCAGTTGGTGGACGGGCAGAACTCCGGCTTCCGTATGCTGTCGAGCAGAACTCTGGCGTCGGTAGACAACGGTCTTTATGACCTCCGTCACCCGCCGACTACGATCATTCCGACCAAACGAACATATCAACAATGATTTTTCACGTTTCCACCATGTGACACACTCTGTATGATATATATTTGTTACATCAAGCCTAGACCTTCCCTCCGATAAAGGGGCCTCATTTGTAATCAATTGTAAATACTAGTGGATTCATTCAAACTAGACTAGGCCCTGTTGTTTTTTCCCCTTTTCAGGGGGTTTCAACGTAAAAATCTTGATGTCTCTTATAAACCGTCTCTTTTTATCTGATCGCATGCTTGATCTTCGTACAAAGCTAAGATGCTAAACTTTATATTTCTTTGACGCCGCAAATAATTCAGGACGCAACATTAATTAACACTAATAAATTATAATTATGAATATTATAATTAGAATGTTATTTAAATAAGTACTTTATTAAAACTTATTTAAATTTTATTTTAATAAGTATATCAATGTTAATTATAATGATAAATATGTAATTAATTATTTAATTAAAATCTAAAATAATTAATCATTTAATTACTATTTACACTTATTATTTTATTAATTTTTATATATTATTTAAGAAAATTTAATTAAAAACTATACTTATAATTATAAAATTAATCAATTAAATATTCTACCACTAACTACTAATTTAATTAATATTTACAGTGCTAATCATCTAATTAGGTATTTATATTTTAAATTATATCAATTAAGCTAATTAAATTAATGTCTAATTAAGAAATTAATAATCAATCTAATCCCATACCTCGCCGTTCGCGCGAGGTAGAGCTTCCTCTTCGGCTTCGCTGGTTCGGCTTCCCTGGTTCGCGTGGGGTGGAGCTTCGAACGGGTCGCTTGCCATCGCCTATCTAGAGATTGCTTTTCCTCTTCTGCAGTTATTCGTTGCTGTTCTTCTTCGCGTGAAGTAGAGTTCTGAAAGATTCGAAGCTTCTCCGCCTCCTCCGACGGCGTTGTTCCTGTCGGATCGAAAGTCGCGCCGGGAACTCGCCGCGAAGGTAACGATATTTCTCCCCTTTCGCGCGCTTTTTTGGTCGGATTTACGAAATCCGCAAAAAAGTCGGATTTACCAAATCCGGGGTTTAGGGCAAACGGCTAAAATGCCGTGAAGTGGACATTAAACTTACTGTGAGATTTAACGTTGTACTTTTTGGAGTTTGGCAGGATTTAGCTCAAATCTTGCCTAAATCTGTCCTAAAGTCTACATCGAAACTGGCCCATAGTTTATCCGTGTGTGCTAAGCACGAACAGTTTTTGATCTGATCTGATTTCTCTGATCATATCTGACACTGAAACTGTGAAGATGGAAAATAAAGCACGAGTTCATCCTGAATGCATCAACGCCTCCAATCCTTACCATGAATGCGTCGATTACTGCTACAAAAAAATTGCCGAAGCGAAAGCCCTTGAGGCTGAGAAATTAGGTTTTTTCTGCTTACTTTTCATGCTCTTGGTATAAATATTAGTGCGCTGAATTTTTATTTTTCATTTGCTTTTTATGATCCTTTAATCTCAGTTTCCACCCGTTTCGATTGTTTGTATTGTAGATGAAGATCAGGATGTTGTGAAGGATCCGGAAGAGCGGCAGGTTCATCCGGATTGTATCAATGCATCGAATCCGTATCACGAGTGCAGCGAGTTCTGTTTCAGGAGAATTGCTGAGGTGAAGGACAGGACTGCCGGGGATGAGGAAGGTCTGTTTGTTTTGTTTCTTTTACTTTTTATTTGTAACATCTTAGTTCAGTAGTATTTTAATTCATTTTAGTTTTCATCACAATCTTGATTTTATGTAGGATCCCATTGTAAGTGTTTGTTGCACTTTTTGCTTCCTTTTCATGCTGCGTGTGTTAACTGATATGTTTTGTATAGCTAAATCTATTTTGTGTTTGGTGTAACTTAAAGAAAATTTCATTGAGAATTTTTGAAAATTTTATTATTATTTTGGTTTCCCTAGTTTTTCTTTATAGAGGTGAACGCCATTTTTTTGTTAGATATGACAATCAAATCATAGTGAAAGTTGCAGTGGCGACATTATGAAAGAACTAATGATTCTTTCAGTAAGCTAAGGTTCGTTTGTATGCAAATCTAGCTACATAATTTGTATGCAGTGCAAAATAGATTACGTTTTGATTTAATTCCTTGCTAGAAAACATATATTTTGTGTTTGGTGGAATATAATTAAGATATTTTGTTGACTGTATAAATCAAATCAGGTGGTCTGATCAATTGCAGCAGGTCACACAAACACATTTTAAGAAGGATGTGGATCAAGAAACAAAGTTTCTCTGTAATACTCTCTTGCTATTTTTTTTTTATGTATATAACTGTACCTAAACTTTAGCAATTTGAATGCAGAAGCACCACCAAGCTTTATGACGTGTGGATTGGGCATTCCGAGACACTTAACTCATAGTTGATAGCGCTTCCTAGACACGGATCTATGCTATGATAGTAGGATTGTAATCTATGACAAAAATCAATCCAAACTAAAAATTAGAAGAGAGTATTGATCTTGTAACTGTGTTGAATCGTTCGCCTCTTTTTAATGACCTCTACTCTCTGGCACTAACTTCCCCAATGATCATGGTTGAAACCTCAGCAGGCCAGGTTGGTTTTAAGTTAGTCCAAATTGGGCAAGAATAACTTAATTTAACCAGATGACTTAGAAAAGGTAGCTATGTGCTTATCGGGTTAACATGGCCTAACTCTTATAAAACTCAATTATGGAGTTAAATCCTTAACTGATTATCTGCTTAAATCTGATCAATTTGCTTTACATTCTTATTTCAATTACTAATTACATTTGATCAGAATTGTTAGCTAGCTTCTTCCTCCTCTGTAACTTTTCATTATGATTATTGCATTTTATTTGCAGGGATGCAACATAAGGATAGTGCAGGATCCACAAAAGATGCCTCTGTTCAAAGTGATGTGGCCCCATATCAAACATCTAACGTTGACAGCCAAAATGTTGAGAATGATGACAATCATGTTCAAAATGTTACTGATGCAGCTTATCCAAATCTCAGCGAAAGGCAGAAGAAATTATTTGAACTGAGGCTTAAAATGGTAAAGATATGCATTTGAGTGCCACACGCCTGAAAAAGTTTCTTTTAGTTTGACATTGTTGGAAGCTTTCATTTTTTGTTTGGCTATCACTTGCATTTGCAGAATGAGGCCAGGAAGGCCAACCAAATAGCCACGGTTGCTGAAAAAAAGAAATCGGAAGGTGAATTTGAGTCAAGGGGCGTGTCCAAAGAAAAATGGCTAGAGGATAGAAAAAAGAAGATTGGAAAGTTACTTGATTCTAATGGATTGGATTTGAGCAAGGCTTATATGCTTGATACACAGGAGTCTGCTGAAACCAAGTACAAAAAGTGGGAAAAGGATCCTGCTCCATCTGGTTGGGATGGTTAGTAGTTTGTTGAGCACCCTCCTACTACAGTTCTTTTTAAAATCGTCTTAAATTCCATTTGTTATAAGTTGCACATATGAGCCATCCATCCATCATGTCCAGTTTTACATTTTAATATTTTTCAAAGCTTGATCATGTTAGGGAAGATGCTATATCAGTAGTAATCATACTGCACTACTAGAAAAAGAAAATAATAAAAAAATAAAAGAAAAAAAAACTATTGTTATTTCAGTTACAAAACTCCCTAGCTATTCATATTGTTAATACTCTTGCGGTTGAGGATAAAATCTTCTTTATTCAGTTTTCAATCAGAAAACATTGTACAATGCCTACAAGAAGCGCACAAAGAATATAGAGATTGACATGGATGCTTATAATAAAGCGAAGGAAGCCGACCCAGAATTCTATCGTGATGCTGCCAGTCTGCAATATGGGAAGGTAATGTCACAACTTCTGTGCCAACCTCTGAGGCTTCGTTTGGGACGGCATTTTTATTGCTTCTTAAAGCAGCTTTTTAATATAAATATTTTAATTTTTTATCTAAAAAGCGGCTTTAAGAAGCAACAAAAAAGCCGTCCCAAATGAAGCCTGAGTTGTAGCTAGAATGAGTTACTAAACCCACTTTTTTGAAGTCTTGCCTTATTTTCCTTTTGCACTGGGTACACGCCTTCTTTTCTTTTTACAGCCTTCAAAGATTTCTGAGGTGAACATTGACAAAATGGTGAAGGAACTTAAGGATAGAGAGGCAAAGCGGAACTCATTCAGCAGGAGGCGTAAATTCCACGAGGAGAAGGACATTGACTCCATCAACGACCGTAATGAGCACTTCAATAAGAAGATTGAGAGGGCTTTCGGCAAGTACACCCTTGAGATCAAGAACAATTTGGAAAGAGGAACTGCCTTACCAGATTAGTTCCCCTTCCTATTAATTGTCGCCAAGAAATTCTCTCAATGAATGCCACTCACATGAAGGCTGGTGCAACTTCAGCTTCTCTGGCATTCTATCTTTTCAACAAATGGTAAACTTTATGATATCTATATTAGAAATCCTCTTTATCTACTGCATGTAAACAATGAATGCTAGCCTGAGGTCGAGGTAGTCGATTCAACTAAATAACCTCCACCCTGTGCTGCCATTCTTTAATAAGTTGTTAGTGGGTTCTGACTAGTTGATGTAGAATAATATACATACAGCGCTGCTTGTTTTGCTAAGTAAGATAGATGTCATGTTAATGGAATGTAGAAACAGATTGTTACTAATGGCATTGTCTTCACAACAAAATCTATGTTTTGTTCGTTTATTTGACCTTTTTTGCTTCCGATATAATTAATGTTTTTCATTTCCTAAATATGGGTATGTGATTGTTGATGATTATGCGAGATTTATTTGGATTAGCTTTTTATCACATAAGAATAAATTATTAATTCAAACATTCTCCACAAGGATTCAAAAGAAATTAAGTTGTGAAATTTCAAGTATCTAATTTGAAAATGATAAGTTTGAATCATTCTGTAAGGAGCTAGGAGTAGAATATAATTTTTTATCTCATGGAACCCCTCAGCAAAATGGGGTTGCTGAAATAATAGAACATTGGTAGAAGCTGCTAGAGCTATGCTAGCAGATTTTTCAAACATGAACTGCCCTTGCACATTATGTTTCTTATCGATTTTGTTGGATGTCATGGATCAGAGTTTGGCGAAAAGTATAAGTACCATTGCTGATCATAGTTATATGCCTGAATATTATTAAATGTGGATTCTGATCATATTAACTTTTTGGGATGATTTTTTTTTTTTTTTTATAAAAAATTGACGGCATCATAAAGCTCTATTAGTGGCAACCACAAAATATTAAATGCAAACTATCATAAATGTCCATAATGAAGGATACAAATATATATAATAGTGGTTGATTATTAATATTAGAAGGTGAATTATACATTATATAAACCCATGTAATATTTACTTGTATAATATCGTACAACAAGAATCAATAAAGAAAGAGAAAGAGGATGAGAGAGAAATATTCAGGTACATGCATAGGGAGAGCTTATCTCCTATGCCTGATCCTCATCTTCACAGTAAATGTTAACATTCTCTCTCAGTTAGACAAAGTGATATTTTTAAGTATATCTCTAACTTTATATGAAGTGTCATTTTTCATATATCTCTTTCAAAATTTAATAGATTATTTGATCTCTCCACAGTCATATATTTGGTATCCTGAATGTGCATTACATCTATGCTGGGGCTAAGGGTTGAAGAGTTTATCGAGAGGTCTTCAATGTGAACTTCCCTCAGCAGCTGTGAAACATTATGTGGAACACAGGACTGTTCTTTAAGGTCTGCCATAGGACAGATTATTCTGTGCGGACATCAGACACAGCTGGTAAACCGTCTAGAGGCGAATCAGGTGCAGCCACGTCATTCAATACCGAGATGTACCGAGCAATACTGAGCCGCGGTACCGAGTAGGGGGTGACGTGGCACATTTTTATTAGGTGCGCAGCTGTCACAGGGTTCAATCAATGTTGATCTATTCGGGCCCTGCCCAGCCTTAGATATAAGCCATTATTTCACCGATGAATTCTGGATTTTGGAACATTGTGGGAAAATTGAGTTTTTGAGATATGAAGGAGAGTAAGTTGACAAAGTGTCATACTCTTCTTTTCTAGGAACTTAATTTTATTGTGGGAGTTCTGCTGCTACTAACATGAATGAATCCATCAAATAGAGAAATAGAAAATTAAAATAGAATTTGGTGTTTTGTGGACTGCAACTTTGCAGCAAATAAGTACCCAGGCTCAAAGCCTTAGACGGATCAGCCTTTTATAAACTACTATTTTAATGGAAGGAATGGATTTTTGGCAGTTAGTTGGAGTCATATGGTTGTTTTGAAGATTAATGGGCGACTAAGACAAGTTTTTAGGCTTTCAAATGCACTTATCAATGTAGTTTTCTTCATTCTACAGACTCCATCCAAGGAGATTATTCTATGAGGAAGCCGGGCGCAGCGGTACCAAACAATATTGAGCCGTGGTACAATAGGGTAATGTGGTATATTTTGATTGGTCTATGGATGATGTTTGATGTCCGCACAGAATAATTTTTCCAATCCAAAACTTAGTGGTTGGAGTTTTTTCCTCCATGCAGCGGGACACCAGTTCGACCATTCGAATCTCAACGCATTAACGTATCTTAACCTCGCCAACATTTAAACTTCAATCCTCATCATTTAAATTAAAAAAAAAAAGAAAAAAATAGATTCTTCGTGCATCTCTGAGGCCCCTTTTATGAGAGCTTCAACCTGCTTTGCATTTCAACAGTTTTTGTTCGACCACTATTTAAAAAAAAAATTGTACTACAAAGTTGCTTTTTACATTATCCATAACAACTTTACAATCATCTTTATTGAAGTATCCAACTTTAACTTGTGAATTAGAGTGAAAATTTGAATGACCTTCAACTTTCCATATAACAGAAACCGAGCAGTTCAAGAGATACCCTTCAGGAATCAACACCACAAAAGTAGATAAAAGAACAATAGGAGAAGGACAATGGTCATTACAAATCTTATAGAGATTTAATTGAAGAAACCATTTAAATGCATCCTAAACTAACCTAGTTATTTTCTGGAGCCAAACTACAGCAAGAAGATTGTCTTATACAAGACCAACAACAAAATCAAGATGATCTCCTGCGATAACATTTGTAGTCCGGAATGTCTCCACGTAACCTTTTCTTTCCCTTGAAAGAATCCTTCAAATTTTCCTAATTTCTGTGAGAATTCTCCTCTACAAAAACAAATGTTTGGATATCAAGAAAAATACTATGAAGTGATCCAAACAGTTTTCATCTGGAAAAGGGTTATTTAGAAGAACTAAAGAAAAGCTTATAAACAGAATGGCAACTTAGGCTTCGTTTGGGACGACTTTCTCGCTGCTTCTTGAAGCAGCTAGAAAGCTGCTTTAAGAAGCATTAAAAAAGTCATCACAAACGAAGCCTTAGACTCACCAGAGGTAGGATCAACATGTACATAAAAGCTGGCTGCAACGATTATATAGCTGAGAATAAGCATCACGCCTTTGAAGTAGTTAGAGGTTCCATCCTGAAGTGAAATGTAGGAGTCGAAATTATTAGTATAAGCCAATACAAGATTTCCATTTCAGTGTACAGTCTAAAACAAACCTGCAACATGAAGGCAACAACTAGCACTGTTATGAATAGTGCAGCTGTCTCAAAAAGCTGAAAGTTCAAGTCCATATGCCTCTCCATTATCCATCCTATTACCACGCAGAAAGGAATCTACAAATATGAACTAAAGGTAATTATGCTGATTTAAGAAACACAACAACAACAACAATATCAAGCCTTTGTCCCACTACGTGGGGTAGGCTACATGAAACTTTTTTTGCCATTGTGTTCTGTTAAAAGTCAAGTTCTCATTTAAATCTAATAAAGAAAGATCATTTCTAATATTTTTTAACCAAGTCTTTTTAGGTCTACCTCTAACTTTCTTAACATAAGTCAAATCTAATACCTCAACTTTCCTAACTATGTCATCGGAGGGCCTCCGTTTGATGTGATTAAACCATCTAAGACGATTCTCTCTAATCTTATCTTCCATTGGAACTACTCCAACCTTTTCACTTAAATGCTCATTTCGTATCCTATCTCTAAGGGTAAAGCCACTCATCCACCTAAGCATCCTCATCTCTGCAACACTTAACTTAGTATTATGCTTCTCTTTTATTGACCAACATTCGGCACCATAAAGCATTGCAGGTCTCACCACCATCTTATAGAATTTTCCCTTAAGTGTCTATTTGATTCAACATTACTCAGATAATAACATTGAATATATTGCTTGGCTGCTTAATTACTGTGTTAGGAGTTTGTTCTTTCGATGCATAGTATTTTAGTCTTTTTTCTGTCTTTCTTTTTGTTCTATAGAGTAATAGATAGATACCCCAAACATTGATATCTGTGTAGATGAACCAATTGCAACTCCAAGAGAAATGTCCTGAATAAGAAGATGAAAGATATAAGACTATTGAGCATAAACTGTGAGAAAATTTAAAACCTCGGCAGAATAAAAGAACTTACTAGTTTGTCTTTCATGGCAAACATAATGGCACTTGCATGTTCGGCAGCATTTCCTACTATTGGAAGCAAAATAACACTTATAAAAGCAATAGGCATATTCCATGCCTTTGAAGCCCCCTGTCAAATTGTTAAAAACAGGCAAAGGTGTTAGTTTTCAATTAGGGGACAAGATTTTCATTTTAGTTTCTCTCAATATAGTTTCATTCGTATAAGTGTTGGAGAAAACAAGGAAATTATTTTCAGTATTGATCTTATTTATATTGTGTAGGTTTAGATCTGTGAATTTGACTTGAATATTGATGATTGCTAAGAAATTAGATAGATTTTTTTTATTAGAATTGAGCTTAGATTTAAATGAATGATTTGAATAATGAGCCAGATCCAGCTCGGTAGAATTTGAACTAAATAATTTTGCTATCTCGAGATAAGGTATAGATGGGTTCTTCCAATGGGTGAAGTGGAGCTGGCTCTAAGTAATATGTATGACATAAATTTTTAGATTCATATGGGATATCAATTATGATTTAAAAGTTATGCTAGATATTATAGAAATTACTTTACAAATTATTTCAATGGAATTTTGAAGATTAAGAGTATGCCAAATGATTGAAGGAGAAGCATTTTAATACAATATTTAACAACAAAAGAATATTTAAGATTTTATTAATTATAAGAGAATCAAACATGAGTCGTCTAATGAAGATATAAGATTGAGTAATGAGACACAAATTAAAAAAATATATATCTATTTTAAGGAATTAACTAGATTTCTAGTCAAGAAAATTTATCATAAAAGTAATTTTTGTATTAAATACAAATAATGAAGAAGTAGAAAGAGCGGAAAATAAATTTTAATATATTTTAATTAATCTTAAGAAAGCATTCAATGGAGAACCACAAAAATTAATTTGGTTTGAATAGAAGAAGAAAGATGCGTATCAAACTGATGAGGACATCGATCAGAGGTTCAAACATGTGTATCGCTGGAAGAATCGCAGATTGATGGCCACGATTCAGAGTTTATATTTTTAAATATTTATGCATTTTATTTTCTTTGAGTATTCCTATTGTACCCCTATCATGAGTTGAGTCATGTTGTAGCCCTAAGGGCAATTTAGTCTTTTTTATTTTATTTTCTTTGAGTATTCCTATTGTACCCCTATTATGAGTTGAGTCATGTTATAGCCCTGAGGGCAATTTAGTCTTTGTTTCTTCTTTTATGTTGAGACCTATATATATGTCATTTCTATTGTAATGAGGATAATGAATATTTGGAATAAAAATTTGTTGTTTGTCTTCTTCTTCACATTGTGTGTGCACTAGAGAGAAGAGAGAGAGCCCGAGGTAAGGGCGAGCGCAATACCCACCAGTCATTGGAAGAGTCCGTGACTCGTGGTCTACCTCCTTCATCTCCGTTCATCTTTTCTTCCCTCACCCGCCGGCCTTAGCTTTTCCCCAAGCCGCCAGCCACATATCCTTCCCCTTACCCACTAGCTTCCTCACTTCAGATCCAACCTCCACCAAAACCACCTACACCCAACGGCAAGTTCTCCCCCTCCCCTTGACCGCTGGCCATCATCCTTGATCTTAGTCGTTATGATGAATTCGTTCTTCATAATGACTCTCCCATAATTTAGATCTTGCATTAAAGAAGAGAGTTAATGAATTTTGAAATTCAAAACTTTCCTTATTTGCAAAGTCTAAATAAATAAGTTTTTTTCAAATTCAAAATTCAAACGAAATTTGATTGGATGACTCATTATTTTCCCCCCACAAGTTTCAAACTCATTTGGAAAGTGTGATTAAATCTCCCTAACCCCTCCTCCCCCTATCACATGCCGCCGGCCCTACTAGGGTGGAATCCCCTTTAATGCTACTTTAATGCATTCAATACACTTGATTCAAAATCCACATTCAAATTAACCTCTTTAAGGAATTAACTAGATTTCTAGTCAAGAAATGTATCATAAAAGTAATTTTTGTATTAAACACAAATAATGAAGAAGTACAAAGAGCGGAAAATAAATTTTAATATATTTTAATTAACCTTAAGAAAGCATGCGATGGAGTACCACAAAGATTAATTTGGTTTGAAATCAAATGTTTGTTAAAGCTATTAAAAATACTCATAAGAGGGCATTGACTAGGGTAAAAAAGACACTATGAAGACAGCAGAGATCACCGAGTTTCAATTATTTAAGAAAATGATTACTTGTCAAATTTTTAAGTTCATTATCGTTTTGTATTATTTAAGAAAATGATTACAAAGGATATTCAAATTAAGATGCATTGGTGTATATTTTTTGTGAGTGATATAGTTCTAATAGGTGAAACATGTATTGATATTAATGAAAAGTTAGAATAATGGAAAACAACATTCAGAAGATAAAAGTCTTTCAATTAGTAGAACAAAAGCTTGATTATAATATGCCATTTTAGTTGATGTAATATTAATACTCCTCGATCAATATTATTAAAAGATTATGTGATACTTAGATATGATAGATTTATAAATTTATAAATTTGTTACATAGAAAAATAGGGATATAAATCAGGATACGAGTTCTAGAGTTAAGGTAAGGTGTTTAAAATTGAGTGCCTAACAAATGTTATACAATAAAGGAATATGATGGAGACTTAAAGTTAACTTTATTAAATTATAATTAGGTAAGTTATGCTGTATGGATTAGAGTATAAGACAATAAAGATTCATTGTTATATAAGTTGAGTGTACATGAAATGAAAATGTTAAGATAGATATATTTGAAACTAAGAAATAATCATATTAGAAGCCGCTGAATTGTTAAAGATATCGTAGTTAAAATAGACTCAGGTAATTTTGACATATTCAAACAAAAGCAGAGCTAAAATCAAGCTGATTTCAATCTCTTATTAAAGTGTTCATATACAACCTACAAATATGAGTGCTTATTTGTAGGTTGTATATGAACCCATTAATAAGAGATTAAAATCAAATTGATTTTAGCTCTTATTTTGTTTGAATAAAAAAATGAGCCAAGCATGACTCCAATTTAGATCCAGTATAAAAATCTTTTTGCCAAGCATTGGTTGGTTCAAGAACAAATCAAAGGATTTTGAGCGAGTTTGAGCAGGGTTGAATCGACTTGATATATGAATGAGCACACAGCTTTAAATGCGTGGTAAAATTTTTGACAATATCAAATATTTGGTTCTTAATCAAAAGAGAATTGTTTAGGAAAGTTTTAATTATAATTGGGAATGAATTATTTAGGGTAAGAGATCTAATTTGAATTCAAAATCTAAAAGGAAATTATTTAGAAAATGGAGGACAAATCAGGGGGAATTATTTAGGAAAGTTTTAATTAAATAAGGAGGGAATTATTTGGGGCAAGAGATCCAATTTAAATTCAAATATGAGACAAAATGATTTAGGAAAGTGAGGTTGATTTGGGAGGGAATTAGGGGAGCCTATTTAGGGCAAACAATAGGTTTATTTCAAGATTATGCATGTGTTTGCTGAAATTAGGATTTCTTAAGTTGTGAGGGCTCTAGCCAGCCAGCGGCTAGGAATTTGGGAGAGCCAGATCTTCCTCTCTAATTGAAGATCCAACTGTATCTTGCTATTTTCTTTTGTATTTCTTGCAATAAAAAGTTTCATGATGTGTTCTTCTTCCCAAATTCTTTAAGAAATCACTGATTTGGCAAAAAATGCATCTACTTCCTATCAAATGGTATCAGAGCACTTTTTAGGACCTATGGCAGCAAAGAAGGTTGATGTGTTGGAAGGCAAAGTGAAGTAAATCAAATCTCAGTTGGTAGAGAGGTTCTCAACCATCGAAGGAAAGTTTTCATCCATGGAAGGAAGACTTTCTAACTTAGAGTCATGATGAAGAAAATATTGGAGCTTCACACTCAACTGGCAACATTGGAGGCAAGGGCACCATTGATCGGATAAGAAAGTGAGAGAAATCCTAATATAGAGATGACGAGGGAGGATGAGGGGGTGGAAATGTTGAGGGAAGAAGAGGAGAAGTCACATTTAGAGACCCTTCTAAGGAGGGGAAATAACGGAGTAAGATTTTTTGTGGAGTTGTAGAGTTTAGAAGGAAAAGAATATGGCGAGAAGATAGAGAAGTACCATACATGGTTCAATAGTTCTTACAACAGTATCGAGAGATGTTCAAACCAGTGTTGAGGTTGCCTTCTCCATCGGAACATGAGCATGCTATCATTTTGAAGGAAGGATTCTCATATATCAGTGTTCATCCAAAACATTATGCCCAACTCCAGAAGGATGAGATCGAGAGATTGATCAGGGAGAAGCTGGAGGCAATGATCATTCGACACAGTGCAATCCATTTTTCAGTCCAGTGCTTCATCAGTAGTTTCCTTCATTCCACCTTGAGGACAAGGTGACACATTGGGAGGGGAGTATTGATAGACAAACCTATTTGATTGGGATAGAATTAGGAAGTTTTCTAATCTAGAGGGAGCTGTTTAGGAAGATTCTTAATAAAAGGAGATTTTTTTAGGAAAATTTTAATTACAATTGGGAGGAAACTATTTAGGTCAAGAGATCTAATTTAAATTCAAAAACTAAGAGGGAATTATTAAGGGAAAGGGATGAGGAATCAAGGGGGAATTGTTTATGAAAGTTTTTATTATAATTAGCAGGGAATTATTTAGGGCAAGAGATCTGATTTGAATTCAAATATGAGATAGAATTATTTAGGGAGAACGAGCTTATTTGGGAGGGAATTATGAGAGCCTATTTAAGGCTAACAATAGGGTTATTTTAGGATTATGCTTGTGTTTGCTGAAATTAAGATTTCTTAAGTTGTGAGGGCTCTAGCCAACGGCTAGGAATTTGGGAGAGCCTAATCTTTCTCTCCAATTAAAGATCCAATTGTATCTTGCTATTTTCTTTCTATTTCTTGCAATAAAAAGTTTCGTGGTGTGTTCTTCTACCCAAATTCTTCAAGAAATTGCTGATTTGGCAGAATGCATCTACTTCCTATCACATTTCTTATGGACAATGCTTAGAAGCTAGATGACAAGCATAAACATTAACATCATATTCCAGCTAAAACATTCTTGACGTGTTTGATGTAGAAAGGATATAAAGCATCAACGAAGAACAAATATCTTTTGTCTTAGAAACATCTCTCTTTGACCCACTAATCAAAAACTAAGATAAGAAAATGTACCTCAATGGCATCAACTAAGTATTCAGAGAGGACCGAGATCCAAATGGTAACAATGGCAAGCCAGAAAATTGCTTCCCCCTTTGAAATCTGAACCTCTTCATCCTCATCCTTTTGGCTTTCTCCATGCTATTCCAAATATATTAGATATTTAAAAATAGTTAAAAACAATAAGAATGGAAGTGCATTACTTATTATCAGTAAAGCGCCAAATAATGCTGTAATAACAGCTTGTGTACAGGAAAAAGACCTGCTCATTTTTATCTCGAAGGAATCAAAATATTTCCTCACTAAGGAAGCAAACAGTAGCTTGCGAGAAGAAAATTGATGATTTTACTAATTTAATTAATAAAGTTTCATATAAATGCAACCAGATCCGAGCTAAAATAATAACCAAGAACCACTAAGTATGGTTCAATGTTATTTAAATAATAATCATATTCAGATAGTAATATCATCTTTCAAATATTGTGCATTTGGTTTAATGCCATCTTAAGAAAAATGAAGTATTATTTAGAATAATTGGCAATGATTAAGATTTTTTCTTCTCCTTTTTAAATCATCAAGATTGTCTTAGGCTTCGTATGGGACGTCTTTTTTTATTGGTTTTTAAAACATAATTTTGATATAAAACTATGTTTTAAAAAGCAATAGAAAAGTCGTCTCAAAAGAATCCAGGCTTCATTTGGGACGGCTTTCTTACTGCTTCTTAAAACAACTTTCTAGTACAACAAATAAAATTTTTATACTATAAATATGTTTTAAGAAGCAATAAAAAAGCTATTCCAAACTAAGCCTAAATCAAGATGGCATCTAATTTAGTGACAATCTACTAATGTTATTCAAATTTAATTAATATGACAGATATCATCAAACCATATATGACTTATCATAAATAACATAATATTACATCAAAGAAAATATTAAACCAAACATCCCCCTAAATGCCCATTAGTTTTAAACATTTGTCTTCTACATTTTAACAGTCTCCTTATCTTGATACAAACATATATCGAGAATTCCCAACATAAAATTTTTCTTATGTTTTCACTTATTCTCTATAGAATTACTGGGAGATAAAACTGTTTTCCTCCACTGAAAATGCTATGATATCTCATCACAGAGACAAAAATAACTCTTGGGCATAAAAAGAAGGATAGGAAGCAAAAGACCAACCTCAGTATCACCATCATAAGACCTGTTTTGACCCCTTAACTGGAAAATAATATATGAAGTATACGCCACGAGCATGACACAACTGCTAAATCTTGAGAGGGCCAATTCTGACTTTCCAAGATGTATTTCAGTGTGAGTAAAGTGTAGAACAGCTGGAAATAGTAGACCCATAACTGCCATTAGAAGTAATCCAGAGTTCACTGTAACAGCTGCCTGCCCACATAAATAAAAATAGTCTGTCCTTGAATGTAACAAGTTAAAACTGGTTTGAGGAGATAAATTTACTTTGAGATTAGTGTAATATAAATTTTGATTAATTTATCATGTAATACGTTCATCTCAAAGCAAATTAATAACTTGATCCAAAGTATTTTCCAATATGTGATACCTTATTGAAAACCTGGTCCTTCTTATTATAAACTATTCCTCCACAGAAGAATGCACATCCAAGAACCAGTAACATGTTTGATAATATGGAACCCAGCAATGACTGTTGAACCACCCGAATCATTCCTTTTTTAAGTGCATAAATCGATATGATTAACTCTGTTGCATTTCCAAATGTGGCATTGAGAAGGCCTCCAACTGCACAACAAAGCAACAACAACATTAAGCCTTTGTACCACTACGTGGGGTCGGCTACATGAATCCTTTTTTGTCATTTTGTCCTGTTAGAAGTCAAATTCTCATTTAAATCTAATAAAGAAAGATCATTTCTAATATTTTCTAACCAAGTCTTTTTAGGTCTACTTCTGCCTTTCTTAACATAAGTCAAATCTAATACCTCAACTTTCCTAACCGGTTCATCGGAAGGTCTCCAACTGCACATGCAGATTTTTGTATTACATGATGAAGAAAGATCAAGTGCAATTATTACATTTTTCTGAGTATTAAGTAGAGGAATGAGTTTTATTTGTTGTACAATTATATGATGCTGTTCTTTTTCTGCTGTAACAGGTGCTCCTATCCAAATATGGACTGAAAAAAGAGATTTTGTCTAAGTTAGGGGTGGTGTAAATAAGCTAAGTCAAGCTGAAGCCAAAGCCACCCTTGGCTTGGGCTTGAGCTTGAGCTAGACTAATTAATCCAGTTTGAGGTTTCGTTTGGGACGGCTTTTTTGTTGCTTCTTAAAGCTGTTTTTAAGTAAAAAATTAAAATTTATATACCAGAAAACTACTTTAAGAAGCAACAAGAAAGTCGTCCCAAACAAAGCCTGAGTTTGAATTTGAGCTGGTTCATTTGCTCTGAAAAATATAAGATGATTCCAATTCTAGTAACTGTTGTAATAAAATGATAATAAGAATTTGAGAAATAAGAAATGAGTTTCTGCTTGATATTTAATAAACGCAAGGACATTAACCTGTTGGTCCAGTGAAGAAAGCCAGCTGCCTGCATCAAAGAAAAAGGATAAAAATTTAATGCTACTGATTATTGTGAGTATAGTTAAGCAATTGGGTAAGATTAAAATTACATGAAAATGAGAGAAATAATTTTCCTACTCAGTAACAAATCCTAAGCGCTCAGCTAAAGGTACAACGCCTAACAAACTTAGCAAGAAAACCCATCCCTGCAGAAAATATAAAAAGAACAAATAAGCTTTTCAAGTAAATGGAATCAAAATATACAGAAATAACTAAAGTAAATATTCCATAAAGGAAAAATAAAAAGATTAATATACGTACATGTTGGCCAGTCAAACACTTGACAACAATAGCTGCAGGACCACAAGGCATCAGTAGATTAATCTTTGCTGAAAATAATATTATGTTAAGGCTTCTGAAGGCTCTATACTTCATGTAGCTTATGCTACATTTTTCGCCAGCATTCGAGAAGGATTCATTGTGGTTTTCGATCTCTGGGGATGAATTATTCCTAATAAGAGAGGAAGGGCCAACACAGCACTCATCCTCAAATTCATGCTCGAATTGTCCATCAAGTTTTCCCATCTAAGCAAAGTCAATGCTTTAATTAAGGAAAGATTATCTCCATGGATGCAAAGTCAGTTTTTAAAGAGGAAGAAGATAGCAGATTGATAAAAGTTATGAGTATCAATTTTTTATGGTAAAGAAAGAAATATAGAACTTGAATATATATCTGCTATGAAAAAGGTATTGATTAGAAGGCCTACTTCAAGATGAGAATGAGATATGGATATGTGTCCTTTGTTTTCGAACATCTCCAGCTGTTCATAAATGGGAGAAAAGCATTAATTTCAAGCTTGGACGTCCAAAATATCAATGAAAAAGAATTCTTTGATGGGAACATCAGATTCTTATTTAAGCTTCATTTGGGACAGCTTTCTTTCTGCTTCTTAAAGTGACTTTCTAGTTTCTAGTAAAATTTTTGTACTAGAAAACAGCTTTAAGAAGCAGTAAGAAAGCTGTCCCAAACGAAACCTTAGACTTCTAGGCAGGCATGGCGACTTTCATCAGATAGTGAGCATGATAAAAGTAGATAGTGTGATATTGAAGTCACATTACCATCTTGATTGACTTAAGTTTTGAGTAATAGGCAAAACTTAATTCAAGCACAAAGAGCAAAAACAAAAATAAAGAAGAACATAAAATAGAAATGAAGATTAGAGCATAAAAATAATATAATTTTAACAAGTTCACTCAATTGATGGCTATATTTTATTGCCTTCTCTATAAATTTCACAATGATTTTATTGTAGATAAAATGCAATCATGATTTCTATTATGCTACATAGGACGAAACCCTTTATCTTTTTATAAAGAAAAAGCATATGGCTGCTAAAATAAATAAATAAATTTCTCAAAACTATTTTAATCAAATAACAACAAATATTTGATACCTTTTGAAGGCACAACCCCCTTCAATATACCCTGAGGGAATCATAACTATAATCATGCACTCAAAAATTAGAAGGTAAATGCTTAAGACAATAATACCTAACCCCCACGAGGAGCATTGTTATTATGAATCATGCTCCCAATTACAAAGGCTAACATACTTCGACAAATCATAATCAATGATATTTACCAGCCCAATGAAGTTTTCAATTATCAGAATATCATAATCAGAGATGAAAATTTCATCAGTAAAACTCCCCATTACAAAAGCAAGCATACTTCAAGTTTATCATCAATAATGGGCTAAGTTATCATCAAATTATAATCAAATAGGTTTCTCATCATAAAACATGTTCTCTAAATTCTACGAGAAATACACTTCCAGCCTTCTTCATGATGGTGAGCATAAATCAACGAAATCTCTTATGGAGAGAATTCCATCTCAAGCCGAGCCTCCACAATCCAAACAAGCCCCTTAAAAATATAAACTAGTATATATATAATTAAAAGTTCAAATAATAACTAGTGGCTTTGCACTTACAGATGTCATCCATCCATCATCCACATCAATTTACCAAGGATGATAAATCCAAGCATCATCAAAACTTACAAAGAACCAATATCATATATGGTGTATCCATATGATCTTATGATCACACTAAAAAAATTTAGGACACTAAGTATGTTGCAAGATTCTTTTGAACTACAATATCATGCCTAAAATGATCCTACAAACTACAATAATTGAACGAAGGACAAAGCTCGAATGTTCACGAGTTACTAAGCTTATAAGTTACAATTTACAAGGCATATTAAATAGGGCTTGAAGCCCTCTATTAGTCAAGGGGAGTCATGAAATTAGTGTATTAAATAAGCTTTCTTTCTAGTGTATTAGATAATTTATAACGGTTTAGCCCATTGATTGTTATTAGGTGTCCTCTGATCAAGCTAGGTTGATTATCGTCTCTCCGACTATTAGACCAAGATCCATAGTGTCACGAGATGATTAAATAATAGGTTCTTGATCGGGCTTATCATCATTCCCCTAATCATCTACTATGTGCTAGTATTGGTACATTTTTATTTACCCAAACCAAATTGTTTCTTTTGAAGCAAAACATTATAGAGCCTACAAACTAGGCTTCATTGAAATTTTTCTTTAACAATTGAGAAGAACAACTAACCATCGATGTTTAAAACAATGAAAACCTCGAATCAGTATTATTAAATCATTGTAAGAGGGTGAAAACACTAGTTTGCCCCTTGAAAGTTCAACCCATAAATATACAACTGAGCCAAGTGGATTTTTTCAAAGCTCGCATACACATCTTTTCCTTCTCATTCTAGATGGTTAAAATGCATACGTTTATGCTTTCTTTTTTGGGACTGAAAACCTGATGGATATGGAATACAGGATTAATTCTCTTCACAGTTTTTGGAATTCTTTATAAAAACCTCTGTTCTGCGACATCTTTGAAGCCAAATGCCGAAACAAATAGTCCTTAATTGTTAAGAAGAATACTACTATTACTCCAACTTTTAAGAGTTCCTCATGACCAGTGCCTATGCCACGGCGTTTTTGTCTCCTCCTTCACTCTCCCTAAGCATTCACACCATTTACATTAAACACAAATGAGTAAGCACGAAAGCAATCTTCAAACAAGTTCAGTGTCCAGTAAACTTAATTCCATGATAAGCAAAAGAATACATAAAAATGGGGAAATAATCGATAATATTTCTAAATAACAAAAATCTGCAAAGTACCTGATAAGACGGTTGTGTATCGACATTGAGTCGCCGCCCACCTTTGTTCTCCATGGTTCTGCAACGATTACGAAGTGCTAAACCTCTGCAAGATGAATAAAATCGAATCCTTGCAAGGATTGCAAGGAAAAGAAAACACAGATGGTGAGTAGAGAAGATGGTGAGTAGAGAAGATGAACAGCGAAATGTGAGAACAAAAGGGTGTGAACGCAATTAGGATGGGGTACTGAGATAGGGGTTCATTTATTCAAGAGTAGGTAGCAATCACGTCAAACTACTTGGGAGAGAGGAAGTTTCCTTGAAACCGGGAATCAGGAGAGAGAGAGAGAGAGAGAGAGAGAGAGGTTATTCTCTGGTCCGTTTCGTGCATTGCGAGATGCTAATGCGGCAACGGTCGTCTTTCTCGTAGGGGTGGGACGAGTCGTGCTTTAAATTTTTGTTCAATCAATATCCCCGAAATTTATCGAATTTTTAAATAGAAGGAAATTTAAATATTTTTAATTTTTTTTAATTCGAGATAAACATAATATGTATTTTAATTAATTAATTAATTAATTATATTTAATAAATATAAAAATTTGAAATTACTTCTAATCATTTTTATCAGAATATTAATACAATTTTTTTAAAATTACTAGCAATATGGGCTGAAATGAATTAATTTAAAGATGATTAAAAGCTAATTTTAATTAAGGGTGAATTAAATAAGAAACATAAGAAAATCAAATATATTTAAAAGTTATTACTAAGCAAAAAGGTAATGTACTTACTTTCTAATTTGTATAAAGTATGAGTGAAATTTTATCCAATGAAAAAAGAAGTGTCTTTTTATTTATAAGTTTGGTATAAGAGGAATTCTAAGAAATAAGAGAAAAAAATTATAATTTCTATGCAAATAAATCTTATTTTTTTGTTGGCTAATTTTCAATCATTTTTTTATTGCATTGCATTGAAATCCAATTTTTTTTTTATTAATATATGATTTTATTTTAATTTTTTGTTATTATTATTGTTATTGTCTAATTAATTAAAATTTTGCCCACCCTGAAAAAGAAGTTGGATCCGGCTCTGTCAGTGCCTACCATTATTATTAAGATATATGTCCGTCAGTGCAGTCGAGGCTAAAGCTCATTATTGTCTCCATTAATGTAAGCCGTGTGTGAGCCATCAACAATTGATGTCTTCTTACAAGTCTCCTCTCCTATAAAGAGAACAACATAATATATTACTAACTGCGTGTGTTGAAAACTCTAATATTTCAAGATTTCTTCAACCGCCGTGATGGAGATAACTCACATAATTCATTCAAATTATATTAGATTATATAAATGCTTTCTCCCATAGAAAAATGAACCCCCTCCCACCCGTTTGACACAACCAAAGCTTATGCCTACGATCTCCACCAATGTTCAATGTGTGTCTGCCATTGGCAATTGATGTCTCCATTTATGATCACAAGCATTCCATCTTATAAAGAGAACAACAAAATATATCACTAGTTGATATCAGATAATAAACCTAGCAACTCAAGGTTCCCCCTAACAACATGATGGGAGATAAATCCTACAATTCATATATATTGCATTGTATTAATGCCATCTACAATCATTGGCATATGTTATCACCATCAAGGATAATGAACGCCATCAATAATAAGATTTGAATTATTGTCATTTCTACTAAAACTTACACATTGAAGCATGCTATCTCCAACAAGGCCGACTCTTGTCATTGTCAACAATATCAAAAACATTGATGCCCATTCTCCTTATGTTTGACATTGCCAACACGTAGGCCCATCATTTGTTATCAATTCTTACAAATAATTTTGAGGCCCACTATCACCACCAACACTAGGATCACAATTATCAACTAAGTCGTAGACTCCTCGTCATTAAGTCCAATGCCCACCATCATTGCTAAGGTTTATATATGCCATCATAGTCGAAGCTAATGCATGGAGTTTCCACTAGTGTTTGACATGTGTCAGCCATTGACATTGGATGTTCCTTTATTAGTATCAAATCTATCATTTAAAAAGGAGAAAAACATAACGTATCATCAAGTGTTACTTGATGTAACTCCATATATCAAAGGTCCTCCTACCACCATTATGGGAGATAACTCCCATACACAATACATTTCATCAATGCTTTCTTCAATTATTAAAAAAAAAATGCATCTCTTTCTCCAATACAACTGAGGATAATACCTACAGTCTCCGTCAATGTTCGACCTATGTTAGCCATCGACAGTTGACGTCTTATTTTTTCTCACAAGCCTCACCTTCAATAAGGATAACAACAATGCATAACACAAATAGTCACCCGATGATAATTCTAACATATTACTGAACGTTTCTCCTACCACCATCGTCATTAGAGATAACTCATATAATTCATACATATTACATTATATCAATATGTTATCTGATCATATATACATTAAAGTAATATTTTAAATATAGTGCTCCTTTGTTGAAGCTGCATTGTGAGATCTATTTGTGATTGCATCGGTGGAAGAATCGGTGGTTGCTTCATAGGATTCAATTGTTTGTGATAATTGATTGGTTTTGTTTAGTTCATAGGACATTTACATGATTAATAAACTAGTTTGGTTTGTACCTAAACGTGGTCACTTGTCCCTTTATGTCTGATCATATAGGATACCTTCTCTCTGTGCCTAATAATTTTTTATATATTAATCAAGGCACAAACACGATTTAAAAAAAAATATAAATAAATAAAATTGTTTAATCAATCCAAATTTGGAGGCTAATCTTTTGATAAAATTTTGTAATTTTTTTTTTAAATATGGAGGATTTACATACATATCATTTTATATCATGTTATTTATATTAGGGGGTATCAAAATCGGGTTTCGGGTTGGGTTCGGGTCAAATCCTAAACTGAACCGGGTTTAAACGGGTTGATCATAACCTGACCTGATTATATAAAAAGGTCAAAAGTTCAAACCCAGACTCGACTCGCCGGGTTACTGGGTTGACCTGACCAGACACGATTTTGTAAACCCAGGACAGCTGGACGGCAGGGCTCACGTCGACGATGGGAAGTCGGTGCTCACACGAACAGTCGGAAGACTCGGTTGCGACAAGCTGGCAGACGGTCAGCGCGGACGCGACGGCGGACAGACGTGGTCATCTCATTTCAAACGGGTTAACCCGAGTTGAGTTCAGGTTTTTCGGGTCAATCCGAACCCAACCCAATTTTCAAATGGTTCAATTCCGGAAATCCGAACCCAACCCTTTTGTGAAACATGTTGTCATAACCCGAGATTTTTGGGTCGAGTTCGAGTTGGATTTTCAGGTCGTGTCAAATATTGACACCCCTAATTTATATATATAACACTAAAAATTTTAATATTTCATGTCTACCACTAATAGACAACTTTAATATCAAATATCCTACTCTTATATTTCATTCCTACCACTCATATCATCCTATAAATTTTAATATTTAATTTATTGCACCCATATTTGATCTATGTGGTGTGTGCATGAAATATTAAAATTTTGGAGGTTAGATATATAAATAGGATTATATAAAGTGGTATGTATGCAAATCTAACTTTTTATAATTAGGACAGGAAATAAAATATTAAAAATAGAGAATTTTTATTTTTATTGAATATTAAATTATTTAATTTATGCGATGATTGTAACGGTGTGGGTAACGCTTAAAAGGTGATGACTAGCTAGTGGTGATAATTATTTTTTAAAATACTGAAATTATCTTAAGTTAAGCATTTTTAAAACAATTTTAATTATTTTTAAAAATAAAAAATAATTTAAAACACTTTAAATAAATATATTTTTAAAATGGCAGAAAAAATAATTTCAAACAGGGCCTAATCAAGAGAATTTACTTTTAACTATATAAAAATCACCGGTGCTTTATATCAATAGGAAGAAGAATTGTAGGAATAGAAAATGTATTTTACTTCATAATTATTATTTATTGATGTTTAATTTTAATATAATTAATAAAAATGTAGCTCCTCTCTCTCTCTTTCCACACCCCCCCTCTCTCTCTCTCTCAAGAAGCTCAAGATGATCTCTTTCTCCAAGAATTTCATGACAAGTATTATCAGAGCCTTGTTGAGGCTATCTCGAGGTAAGGGAAGGTTCTTGTCCAAGAAAGAGCGGAGGGGGAGGGTTCGTTGTCGGTATCGTAGATGAGCGAGCTCATGCGGGTTTGTTCGCATGAGGCGAACAAGAGGTCTAGTGTGGGGTTTGGTGGAGGCGGGTGGGCTGGATTGGAGGAAGGCTAAGCGAGCCAGAGGTGACGTTCAGATCTAGGTTGATAGGAAGGTAGACGAGTAGGAGTAGGCTGCGCTTGCGTGAGAGTGAACACTAGAGGCGAGGCTGAGACAGGCCCGAGGCGCACGATTTTGTGATAGTTCACATAGCTTGGAATGAAATAGATACCCCTTTTTTAATGATTTATTAATGGATAAGAAGAAAAAAAAAACAGTCGCATCCTTCCATCTTAAGAGAAAAATTACTAAGTAGGTAGTTAAGACTTTTAATTATTAAAAATAGTGATTCTTTTCAACAACAACAATTCTAAATGGTGGTTACTATAAAATCTTAAATGAAGGTTATCATAAAATAAAATAAAAATTGATATTAATCTCACCAAATCAGATAACTTCATGTGTCTTAAATTTGAGATCTTTGATGTAATTATTCTCATCTTTATTTTGCTTTTTGCTCCATATTTCATCATTATACTAATAATTGGTATAAGAGCATTGATCAACAAATTAAATGATAATATCTTTTTTGAATTCTATAAGATTTTTTACGGGAGCAGTGAAGTAATATAAAGAATTATGAAAATAATTTAAGGCTCTATCGAGAGGCACTACAGAAAATTCAGCTGTTATCGGCGGCCTAGACCGGCGGTTGTATAGCCGCCGGTAATAACGGCGGTTTAGCCGGCGGTTTAGAGGCAACGACCACTGGTTAGCCGCCGGTATGATTTCCGGCGGTTTGATGGCCGGAACGACATCGGGAATAAATCCGGTAATAACCGTCGGTATAGGTCGCGGGAAAGCCGTCGGGGAAATAAACCGCCGGCAACGGTTTCAGACGCCGTCTTTACTGGCGGCTTTGGAACCGCCGAAAAGCCGCCGGTTTATTTTAAAACCGCCGGTACTATCAGGTTAACCGCCGGTAATAGCTGAATTTCCTGTAGTGAGGTTCCAACAAAAAGTAGGTATAGACTTTACATAAATATTTTCTGTTGTAGTTAAACAAGCAATTATATGTACAATATTGAGCATTTGTAGTAGCATAAAATCTATATATTGAATAAATTGATATCAATGCAGCTTTCCTCCATAATTATTTGGAAGAAGACACATATGATATAACTAGAAGATTTTATTGAACTTGAAAAAAAAAAAAGCTAAGCTATAAGCCAAATAAAAGACTTCATAAGTTAAAACAAGAATCTCATCAATGGTACCAAAATTTTCATGGGTGCAAGAATAGAATTGAATTTCTCAGATGTAATGTCAATCTTATTGCTACTGTAAGAAGCAATAAGAAAGTCGTCCCAAATGAAGCCTAAGACTTTGTTTGGGACCGCTTTCTTACTGCTTCTTAAAGCCACTTTTTAGTACAATGTTTTTAATTTTTGTATTAAAAATGTGTTTTAAGAAGCAATGAGAAAGTCGTCCCAAACGAAGCCTACATCTTTCATAATTGTAATATAATGAAAATGGGTTAGAAATATTTAATATGATAAATACAAAGACTCTAAGTAATTGCTTACTAACCATTTCATATTATTTAAAAAACATGTCAGTGCATTGCTAAAGTCTCTTATGCGACAATCACTGGATCCATAATTTATGCAATGGTCTACAGAAAACCAGATATTGAACAAGCAGTGAGAACAAGCAGTGAAATGCATGTCGAATATGGGAAAAGAACATTGGAAATCTATGAAGTGATTTTTGTAATGACTAAAAGGTTCGGTCAATTATTCCTTGAAAAACAAACACGCTGCAAATCTTCAGTTAACCTCCACGAATAATAATATGTAAATTTATATAATCCTTATTTGTAAAGCATCTCACAACCATAAGTTAGAAAAGAGAAGGATGAGAGAAGAGGAAGAAAGAAGGGATGAGAGGATGGAGTTCTTTCAATATAAAAGAGAAGAAAATAACAAGTATCATCAATGCCTTATTCTCCACTTTTAGCCCTTGACTTCATAATAAATGGCTATATTCCCTCTAAGTGGTTAATAAATCACTAAAACATTAGCTTTTAGTGATTTATATAATAGATTAAGTACTAAGGAGGGAGAAAGATATATGTATAAGTTAGCTAAACAAAGAGACAGGAGTAGTAAGGATTTAGTTCAAGTGAAGTGTATTAAGGATGAAGATCAAAAAATACTTTTCTTAGAAGATTTTCAACAAAGGTGGGTGAGATATTTTGCTAAACTTTTTAATGAAGATTGTGAAAATAAGATTGACTATAGTGACCTTAGCACCCTAAATGAAAATAAAGATTTCTGTTTTTATCGGCATATTAGTAAAACTGAAGTTAGAGAGGCTTTAAAGAAAATGAAGGGTGGAAAAGCTGTTGGACATGATGATATTCCAATAGAGGTGTGGAAATGCTTAGGAGATGAAGGGATTTCTTGGCTTACTAAACTTTTTTTTCCCTATTTCGGTTGGGTTACATCAAGGATCAGCCTTAAGCCCATATCTTTTTGCTTTAGTCATGGATGTTCTCACTAGACATTTGCAAGATGATGTACCTTGGTGTATGCTTTTTGTTGATGATATTCTTCTTGTTGATAAGACTATAGAGGGAGTTGAAGGTAAACTTGAATTATGGAGGTCAACCTTAGAGTCTAAAGGTTTTTGCTTGAGTAGATCTAAAACGGAATATATGGAGTGTAATTTAGTAGTAATAGACCTAGTGAGGGGATTGGGACTTTGGGCGATCAAGTCATTAATAAGAGTACACGTTTTAGATATCTTGGATCTATTGTACAGAGTGATGGTGAAACAGATGGGGATATTATCAGCAGAATTCAAGTTGGATGGTTGAAGTGGAGGAATGCATCGGGCTTGTTATGTGATAGAAATGTACCCCTCAAACTTAAGGGAAAATTCTATAAGATGGTAGTGAGACCTGCAATGCTTTATGGTGCCGAATGTTGGCCATTAAAAGAGAAGCATAATACTAAGTTAATTGTGGCAGAGATGAGGATGCTCAGGGGAATGAGTGGCTTTACCCTTAGAGATAGGATACGAAATGAGCATATACGTGAAAAGGTTGGAGTAGCTCCAGTAGAAGATAAGATTAGTCGCCTTAGATGGTTTGGTCACATAAAAAGGCGGTCTTCCGATGACCCGGTTAGGAGAGTAGAGGTATTAGATTTGACTTGTGTTAAGAAAGGTAGGGGTAGACCTAAAAAGACTTGGTTAGAAAATATTAGTAATGACCTTTCTTTATTAGATTCAAACGAGGATTTGACTTTTAATAGGACACAATTAATGGAGAAAAAGGATTCATGTAGCCGAACCCACGTAGTGGGATAAAGGCTTGATATTGTTGTTGTTGTTGTATTCCCTCTAAGTGGTTAATATAGGCAAAGCGGTGTGACTATCTTTATGCATATGAACTGTAGTCTTTCTCCATATATGCATTTTTTGAAGTTTAGTGAAATATTATTGTTAGGATCTTCAATGAGAAAGAAGCACTTCCTTGTTGATCTTCTTGAGAGAGGAGGGAGAGAAGAAAGGGAAGAGGAAGAGAGGTTAATTCAAATCTTTATTTCTTAATGATATCTTCTATTACAGCCTATAGCCTCTATTTATAGGCAATAAAAAGCTACAACAATGACAATACAAGCCATTCAAGAAACTAAAGAAAGTACAATCCTTAATTTTGAACCAATATCCAACAATTTTATTTATGTACGAATGTAGAATTAGGTGAATCTTACCAAACCATGCAGATTAGTGCCTTGTATTTGAGATCTTTGATGTGACTATTCTCACAATCTTCATTTAATTTTTTGCACGAAGTTACAAGATTATCCCACTAAAAATAAGATTGCTCACATAAATTTCCTTTCAAAATTCCATGTTGATTGGGCCCTCATCATATGCTACCTTAAATGGATTGAAACTCACGACCGTTGATAACAGCAATAACTCCACCTGTACCAAGGAGGACTGAAATGATTGTTCCTATCTTCCAAATGATTGTTCCCATCTTCCATAAGATAGGAGGAACTTTGAAACCGTAAGGAAATAGAACTGCTCTACATCCAGCTTCTTCCAGGAGACTTGGTCGCTCCTCTCGCCCTCATCATCTTCCTTATCTCCTCCCCAAATTCCACCCTCCCAGCATCATCATACATACCAGCAAGCAGCACGTAGACTGCTGAATCTAAAGGATCCAGCTCCATTGCCTGGCTCGCCGCCCACTCCCCCATTGCAACATTCCCATGGAGCCTGCAGCATCCCAGCAACGTTTTGTATATCAAAGCCCCAGGCTGATGCACCATGGTTTCTATGGCTTCAGCAGCTGCCTCTAGCCTCCCTGCCCTTCCAAGCATATCCACAAGGCAAACATAATGATCCTCCCCTGGAACCAATCCAAACTGTTCTTCCATTGAATTGAAGTAGTCCATTCCGAGGTCTACAAGCCCACCATGGCTACAGGCATAAAGGGCTATCAGGAAGGTGACAGAATCTGGAAGGACTCCCGCCATTATCATGTCTTCGAATGTCGACAAAGCATTGGCAAAACACCCATTGGAGGCAAGCCCTGACATCAAGCCATTCCATGACACGACATTTGGCTGCTGAATTGAAGCAAAAATGGCCCGGGCCTCAGCGATGCAACCGCACTTGCTATACATGTCCACAAGACCATTCAAGACTGAGATGGACACACTGAGACCTGATTTAAGGGAGTAACAGTGCAGCTGCCTACCGCACTTGGCTGCACATAGACCTGCAGCAGCGGAAAGGAAGGAAGCTATGCTGAAGCCATCAATGCTTGTGAGCTCGGCCCTCATGGGCCTGATCAGCGAGAGGACCTGCCCATGGAGCCCTGCCTGATTCAAACCTTTGGCCAGGCTTGTATAGGTGTAGACATCCCTATGGGATACATCATCAAATACTTTCCCAGCATCAATTGGCCTGCCGAGTTTAGCATAGGCGGCAACAAGAGAGTTGCCAACCGTAATATCCCTAGTGTCCAAGTTGGTCTTGAGTGCAACAGTATGGAGCTTCTGGGCATGAGCAGGACCCTCTGCTGAGCTCAAATCTGTGAGGATGGTGGACAAGGTGAAGGAATTGGGCTTCACCCCAGCCGCTTGCATCTCTGTGAGCGCCGCCATTGCGGTACTATCTTCTCCATGTCGAACAAGCCCAGAAATAAGAGCTGTCCAGGATACAACATTTGGAGAGGAGATCTCCTCGAAGGCATTCATTGCATCTTCTAATTGTGGAGAACATTTTGAATAAAGATCAACAATGGCATTGCCAACAGAAACATCATGCTCAATCCCAGCCTTTACCACTAAGCAATGGAAGACTTTTCCCAGCTCAGGCAATGTCGATAAAGAGGACGCATTGAGGAGAGCAGTATAGGTAAATGAGTTGGGAGGAAATGCTGCTGAAGTCTGCATCTCTTGGAAGGATGCAACCGCCCTACTGCAATCCCCAGCTCGAGCATAACCTGAAATGATTGCAGTCCATAGCAATGTATCAAAATCAGAGGTCAAGTGTAGGGTTTTCGTGGCATTGATCATATTGCTGCATTTAGAATACATGTTGACAAGTGCAGTTTTCACTGCAAGGTTGAGCTCGATCCCAAGAAGGATCACATGAGCATGAACTAGTTCACCAAGGCGGGAGTCAAGATTGCAGCAGGCTGTGAGGAGCTTGGAGAAAGTGAACTCATTCGGGAAGACCCCATCTCTCAGCATGGCTATGTAGATCCCAACGGTCTTGTTCCAGTCCTCAGCTTGCACCAAAGCAGAAATCATTGTCGTCCATGAAACAGTATCTCTATCAGTCATAAGTTCAAATACCAGACAAGCATCATCAAACATACCACACTTGGAGTAGAAATCTAGAAGAACGCCCTCAAGAACGTAATTTGATCTGAAACCACGTTTAAGGATAACGGCATGATGACTCATTCCTAGATCGAAATCCCTAACAGATGCAGCACAGCGCATGATACTGGATAACGTGAAATGGTTAGGCACCAAACCAGCAAACAGCATTTGCTGGTACAGCCAAAGTGCCTCTTCATCATTGCCACTCTGAACAAAAGCTGATATAGTTGCAGTCCAGGAGACGATATCTCTATACCTCATTTCTTCAAACAGCTTGTGTGCAATGTTTGCCTGTCCATGTTTTGAGTAGAAGGATAGGAGGTTGTTGCAGATGTAAAGATGTCTGTCAAGGCCTAGTTTGATGATCGGTGAATGAACACAAGTTCCCGGTTTGGAGGACGTCATGGATTTGCAGAATGAGAGGAAATGGATGCATGTTTCCTCTGAGAAAAGGACGGTGGCGGTGGAGTCTTTGATGAACGGAGAAATTCTAGAATTTTGGTCGACATTAATGATACAAGGCAGAGCCGGTGAGTGAGAGAGAAGACGCAGATACTGCCGGAGAACCGTGCTTGTCCAGATTGTCTGAAGATGGGATTCCACGAAGAAGCTAAGCGAGGGGAGGTTCGTCTTCAAAGGGCCAGGAAGTAAGAGCATGCTCAGCAGCAGGGGAGTGGGAAAGGAATTAAACACGAGAAACGGTAACCATAGGATTCAATTATTCAAATATGTACTTTTTTCATATTAACCCCATCTTAATGATAATTTGCCTGCAAATCCATTTGGAAATATCCATGAATAACCAAGAAGGAAATATACAAAATAATTAAACGGTAACCATATATATAGGCTCAGATTCTTTACAATTGTCTGATGACTACATTAGATTGAGATGAAAATGTTCTCGAGAAGCAGCTCATGAGTTATGGATGTATTCATTTGCGATGATCTCTAAAAGCAGCTTATGAGTGAGCTTGCATAGCTTGACTTTGTGCTAGAAAACTATCATTCATATATAGGGATTGGGTAATTATCATTTATCTCTGATAAGGATTAACTGTCATATAACTTATGAGATTTAGCAATGGCTTAAATGTCTCACCTATATTAAAATTTTAATCCAATTTTCACTAAATTAAAAGCTAAGTCATTTAAGCATTGAAATTTATTTATTTCTAAATTTTTTAATAGCTTAAGATTGAAATTAATTTATTTTGGAATAATGGTTAAAGAGAATTTTTCATATAACTTATAATTTCATTAACGAATATATATAACACATAATTCATATTTTCATATATAATACCTAAATTTCAATATTTAATTATTTAACATAAATTTTTAAATCACATTAAAAATATCGTTTTTAAATTTTCAAAAAATTAAAATTTTTATTCATAATTTTAAAAACATTAACAAAAACTTTCGAGGCTCAGCGTTCCTCTAATATGCTAAATAAAAGTGAGAAGAAAATAACTACAGGTCCTCTATCTGTGGGGCTAGTTGTTAGTAAGCTCCCTGAGATATTAATTACGCTGTCATGCGCCTCCTAGGAGATGGAAACGGATAGATATCCCGTTTCCAAAAAAAAAAAAAAAAAAAGGGCTAAATGAAGACATAATTTATTTTTTTGACTTTCCATTAACGAAAACCAAAATAAAAAATCCATCATTGCTATGGCGCCAATTACCCCATGATTCAAAGTGATATGAAAGTTGAGCTTCGTACATCATTTACCAGAATAAAAATCGAGCTTCGTACATCATTTACCCGAATAAAAATCAAGCAGTAAATGGAAGAAGAATGTCAATCGAGAATCCTAATCTTTACAGGAACAAGCATAACTCAGCTTATAAATATAGATTAAGAGGTTGAGACTACTAACAAAAATTCCTGCTCCCTCGTAAAATTCTCAACGTCTGCTTGGTGTCTTGCCCTTGGAGAACTTGGAAGCACTTCCTTCATTGCTATTTCTCTTAAGGTAGCCACTCAGAGCTGCTTTGGCCATTGACCACTGCTGCTCAGACTCAGCATTCCTCATGAAGGGGCAGACTTGAACGCCACTAGTTTGGCCTTCACTAGTTTTGCCTTGAACGGAAGAAGAAGATTCTTTACACTCCTTTTCTAAGGCTCCAGAGCTGCTGATAGGTGCATTTGGATTTATTCCTGGAGAAATCTGTGCATTCTGTGGTGTTTTTTGTTTTGATTTCTCTTTTTTGTTTGTGAAGGTATCGGATGCGTTGGCCTTCCCTGATAGAGCATTGGAGATGCTGAAAGAGCTGCTGCTGCTTCTTCCTCCAACAAGCTCTTTCCATGAAGATTTCTGCAGCCATGGCTGGCCATCTGCTGGCTGAGCAGTGCTTGTGTTTGTACTGTTTTGGCTTTGAGCATTTGGAGTTTCAGCAGGAATCTTTGGAGTAATCCGCGCATTCAGTGGTGCTTTTTGTTTTGATTTCTCACCCAAAGACTCGGGTTTTTTCGATGCAAAGGTTTCTGATGCATTAGCCTTTGGCATTTGTGGAGATGCTGACGTTAAGCCTGATAGAACATTGGAGATGCTGAAAGAGCTGCTTCCTCTTCCTCCAACAAGGTCTTTCCATGAAGATTTCTGCAGCCATGACTGGCCTTCTGAGCTTATAAGGGTACAGGATGGCACAGGTTCAGCTGCAGAGGAAATGGAGGTCAATTTCTGGGCTGTGGCTTGCGCAGGTTCCGGTTTAGAAAGTCCATCAGCTGAGACTAGACGTGCCTTCTTATTTGGCTTGATAGAAGATGCATTGGTGACTTCAGATTTCTTCCTTCTGCCAGAATCTGCTTTATTTTGGACCAATCTACCTTTGGAAGATTTTGGGTTGCCAAATCCAGATTCCTAGTAAAAGTAAAAAAAAAAACTGCAAAATAAGATCACTCTCAAGTTTTATATCAAATAATATGGGCATGACAGTAGAATTTTATTTTTGTTTTTTTGGAACAGTCAGTAGTGGTGAGAGTTGAAATCATAACACTCAAGAGTATAACAGTTGAACATGGCACTCATCTCAGGTGATTGCAATAAATAAAGTTGAAAATACATCCTTAACCTTTATACACACTGGTTCTTTGCTGTCTTACTATACAATTAAAAGTCAGAATTATTACATCCCTAAGTGAAATTTATTGTCTTTAAAAGTAGGAGAGGCAGTTCTTTAATTTATCCTAACAAAATAGTTGCTCTAACATTAAGAACTGGGCTCTCTTTCTTTGCTTGTTAATCTTATGAAAAGTTTTTTCAAGAAATGTACTCCATGGCCTAAACTATCATGCTTACGTATTTTTGTTTCAGAAACTTCTATGGCATAAGTAGAAGTATATTATCTATACTTATTTCCAAAAAAAAACAATCCAATACTATTCTTAGTCTTTCATATAAAAAATTCTCCAGATCAATATTAGTCCAGTTACAGACAGTATTCAGCTTTATTTATTTACACCAAGATTTATGGATTTCATGTTCTAATAGTTTTCATTTTTGTGTGCTAGCAAATGTCAATGGGAATGCTATCACCCTCAAAGAAAAGTATGCTTACAGTAGAATGCCCTCCAACTTATTGGCATTGATTACCCTGTATGTGAACTCAATATTTTCGAGTGATTATTCTGCAATTGAAAACTTTTCTTTATGCCTCAAGAGCAAACTCTCCCCTTTATTTTCTCTATACAACAACAACAACAACATCAAGCCTTTGTCCCACTATGTGGGGTCAGCTACATGAATCATTTTTCGCCATTGTGTCCGGTTAAAAGTCAAATTCTCATTTCAATCTAATAAAGAAAGATCATTTCTAATATTTTCTAACCAAGTCTTTTTAGGTCTACCTCTATCTTTCTTAACATAAAACAAATCTAATACCTCAACTTTGCTAACTGGGTCATCGGAAGGCATCTATTTAATGTGACCAAACCATCTAAGACGACTCTCTCTAATCTTATCTTCCACTGGAGCTACTCCAACATTTTAACGTATATGCTCATTTCGTATCCTATCTCTAAGGGTCAAGCCACTCATCCACCTAAGCATCCTCATCCCTTTATTTTCTCTATATATATTATTAAATTTTATATATCAATCTATCTCCTGATTCACATAAAAACATGTGACAACGGTACCTACAAAAGAGAAGAGCCAACCTAACTTAAAACCTCAGAGGCCCTTTATAATCGGTAAAATCAGTTTATGACTTCAACTTGTGGCGACCATCAGACAACAATAGAAATAACAGTGAGCACTATTCAATGCGGACGGGGCTTTCTTACTGCTTTTTAAAGCAACTTTCAAGTATAAAAATTTTAATTTTTAAACTAAAATACTGTTTTAAGAAGTAATAAAAAAGTTATCCCAAATGAAGCTTTGGGAAGCCTTAATTACAAATTACATAGGCATGTTTAATATTATCATCTGAAATAATAACCATTCATTGTGGGTGAATTATTACTACGAAAGAAACTAATCATAACTTTTTAACAGATTTCTGAATGGTCAATGTTTGAACAATTACTTGATCAGAAAATATTTAATAAGATGAGCTAAATATTTTGGTTTCTTTTTATCTAATAAAAAGGAGCATATCCAGTGCATTAAGCTCCCCCAATATAAGGCATGAAGAGAAGCTAATCTAAAAGCCTTGTCTCCAAATTCGTGAAGGATTTTTCTATCTGAAAAAATTAATAATAATGAAACTATCATAAAAGGATGCCGTTCGTTTAAAGTTTTTATCTATTTTTTGCATACAGCTTATCCATGATTTCATTGTTTATTAAATTTAAATGCATAACGAATCTCTACGGCCAATTCAACCATAAGAAAATCCTTCATTTGCTTGGAAAAGTACGCACACAGAATCTAACCAGGCTAATTTACCATTTCCAGTTTAGTGGTCTGCAGTAAAGTTTAATGGAGTTAGTTTCCTGTTAAATAGTATTGCAACGAAAAAATATTTAGAAGAAGATAATTTACGGCCAAAATTTGATTAAATGGATATTTAATCGCTAGCCAAATAGAAATGCATTTTCGCAATAGCTATTACTTGAATATTTTCTTCCATGCATATTACACAGTTCGTACCTGGGGCGTTACTTGTGTCATCCCCTTTTTTAATTGCATCAATATATCATCTTCAGCTCCAACACAAATATTAATCACGAGGTTGTCATCATCTGTGTCTGAAACTTTTGTTTCATTAGAATGGATGTCCTCATTACAGAGACTTAATATCTTGGGATCTGAAGCAACTTGAGTCTTTCTATCTGAAGGTCTTTCATCCTTCTCACCTCCCATGAGCTTGTTGATTACACTAGTCATCATATTTTGCTCTTTTTCATTCACCACAATACTAAGTGGAGAAAGATACTTCTGGCTAGTTGTTTCTAGTGACTTCGAATGTTCCTCACAGTCGCAGAAATGAATTGGGAGAGGAGGGACTTCGATTCGTTGAAAACTGTACTTGTGCTTTCCAGTCCCTTTAAATGGCAATGGCTTCACCTGCAAAAAACATCTACTTTTGTTATTTATTCTTCTATTTTTGAATGAAAGTGATTTATTTACAACAATCCAAAGAAGGCAACAAACAGAAGCAAGTGCATACTGACCAAGAAAATTAAATTACCAAGAAAGTTGCATCAACAAAATGGATAATAGAGAAAAATCTTGGGCACCGACAACCGGTTTGTAACTACAAAAAGGCGCACCTAATGCATGAAGCTTGCATTGATATAATGTCTGAGGGGCTTTTAAATGTAGCCTTACTCCTATATTTGTAAATAGGCTTATTGCATGACATCCAGCAATTAATTAAGGCATAAAAAACACAACCAATGTGAACTTTACAAGGAATAGTAATGGATGGCTTCACTGCAAGCATTTTGATAGGAAACTCTTGTAGATCTTTGAGTATTTCCTATCAATTTTCAGAAAACAGTGAGAATTCTCCATCAAAATCCACACAAAAATAGAAAAAATAGTAGATAATTTGTATTATTTGAGGGAATAGAAACGGAAATAGAAAGATACAATTGATCCTCAATTCGAGAGGAGAATCGATCTCTCCCAAAACTCTAGACGCCGCTAGAACCCAAAAGAAAACCTAAATCTAAGAGATCTCAAATTTCAGCCAAATTCAAGATGCCCTAACCCTAGGAAAACAAACTATTTAATGCATACAAATCAAAAGGAAATCTCTAAACAATGCCTACATTCAAATTTCCCTCCTAACTCCCTCAAAAAACTTCCTAAAACAGCCTATGCACGCACGGCGTGCGTTCGGTGCCTACAGGAGGCGTAGAAATCCACCTATGTTAGCGCTTGAGCCGGTCCCGTTGGACCGGCTGGACCAGTCTAACACATTTCTTGAAAATCAAAATGATTTTTCTCATTCATGTTGTTTCTTCCACATGATTACAACATAATTTACCCTTTAGCTGCAATGTCAGAGGTAAGTGTAGTACACACTACATAAAGAGCTACCTGGTGCATATAGTGCAAAATCTACATCATGTTCAGAGATCCCACCAAGTACACAATAGCAACTTGATAAAAATTCAATTCCAAATCATATTAACTAAAGCTGCTGACCCATGTTTGAAATGGAAGGCATAATTATCTTGGCATCTTGCTCACATTATGCAGCAAAAATCAGGTTTTTATTCTTTAAAGAGTCACCTCAAGGTTCATCTTTTTTAACACAAATTTATAGTTTTTCTTTCCCCCCTTCCTCGTCTTTTACCTTTTAATCATATGTTGAACATATCTCTGAGAAAATTGCTTTTTGGCCCGCATTTAGTTAATAACAACTTTACAAAGTTAGAGTCATAAACAACAAAAGTAGAGGTTACCTTTCCTAGATTTGGAAAGAAAATTCGGATCTGCGAATTCTCTTGGCTTGAAGAACGTGATCTTACAAATTCCAAATTTTCTTCTGTAGGAGGTGGAGCAGAAGCAAGTTTGGCATCTTCTGCCCACTCCCTCTTCAAACGAGCAAGATAGTGCTCTTTTGCTATTTCTAGTTTAAGCTTGCCTCCTTTCCATGTGCATCCATTGTACTGCAAAAAATAAATAAAATATCATCAGACTGCTGAAATATCTCAGGCTGAATTCAAACTTGACATCATTATTCGTTGCTATGTTTGAAAAACAGAAAGAGAGAAAGCTGCAGCAAAGTTTTATAGGCATTCCAAACAAACTGCATTATCAAATCCCAGTCGTGGTGAGAGTTGTCAAGATAAAACTACATAAAAAAGGATAATTTACATTCAGATCCTAAGATATATACCACGCTTTACATTGATCCACATTTTTAAAAATACTACGAATAGGTCCCTGTGATTGAATGGCATATTACATATAGGTCCATATGGCAACTATAATATTAAAGACTTTTATTAATACCTAAAATTTCCTTATGTGATAAGCTCATCTGGGGGATCTTATTGATGTAAAATGAGGGTTTCAAGCCATTACACCCTTTATATTCCTTCATGCTTTTCTTCTAGAAGGCAATTTCCATGACATCCTATGAATATAAGAGTCAAAATAGAGAAGCTATTGTAAAGAGGCGCCATGAGTATTAATTCTGCAAAGTACTCTAATCTTTCTTGTTCCAGGTTTTAGGCCTTCTACTTTTGCATATTTGTCAAGTGTTTCTTGATAAGGCTTTGGCTTGTATTTTTCAAGATCTTCTTTTAAGCTTTTATCCTCTGATTACATTTCATTCTTCTTATACCATATTTTGAAAATGATTCACAGTTTTAATCCAATGAGACTCGTCTTTTTGTTTTAATGTTAGGGTTATATTTGTAAAGGTTTTCTAGGTAGCCTTTCGCTCACATTATCAAGAATTTTTTTAGCTCACTTGAGTACATTTTATTCTTCTTATCCAATGAGGATTCATAAATTGATCTCCCAAGATTTGCATTTTCTTTCTTTCACAAGCTTTTTTCATCCAAAACAAAGGATACAAAACTCTAAGAGAGGAATATTATGGTCAAATAAAATGTGTAACATTAACTTACAGGTCATATGCATGATCATGTGCTTAGAACTAATGACAATAGGCTAACGTAATTACGTATGGGCACCAAGTTGAAAATTGGAAAGAAAGGAACCTGCACAAAATTTCAAAAAGCATTTGAGACCTATTTGTGGTGTTTTCAAAAATTTGGACCAATATAAGGTGCGGTCCATACTTTATGGAGCTACATGTAATTTATCCAATAAAAATCATAATAAAATAACATGTGTTCATTTGAGTTCACTTTCTTTAGAACTCGTCTCATAATCAATAAAAGAAATGCCAATTTATTGCCTTTGGATGAAAAAATTATCGAATTAAGTGATTAACATATATACCTTTCACACTCAGTAGCAATAAATCATGGTGAAAAAACATCCATCAACACAACAAACTGTTCTACATATTTGAATTGCAACATCATTCTCAAAGCTACAGAAACAATATTGACCCTGCATCAATGATATCCTCATGCACTCAGTAGTTCCCATCGGTCATGAATTTGTGTCAGTTTAAAATGACTGCTCCTATGGGCCCCAAATATTTAGGACAAACTTGCTAACTTATATCCACTTTTCACAGAACGAAGTTGATTTTCAACAAAAAAAAAAATTTATGAGGCATGTAAACATCAAGGAAAAGTGAGTTTAAGAAAGAGGCAAACTTTCAATTTAGCACTGAAGAAATCTCATTAACTTCTAATTCAAACTAGATTGTATTACTTGATAGACTTACTGAAGTGCATGTTGAACACTTTCACACCTAAGACAATTGTATGTTTAGGATCAGCTTTGTAACTATTCTCCTTATATTATTTAGCAAATGTCCTTTGGTTCTCAATGGAAAAAGATAAGTAAAATTTAACATAATATAGCTATGATCGTTAGTTGAAGAAGTAACTCAAGCAAGATGAGGTGATGGTAGCCAATATAGTTCTAAATGAATTAGTCCATTCAATGAAAAACTTGATATCGGTTCATAGAACATTTATTTATGTTCATTTACTTTAATAATTGAACAAAATTTTTAAAGTTTAGCATATGAATGAACATACTTGAATATCAAATTATCAGCTATCTCATGATTCTCATTCATTACATTCGTGAAAAATATTCATTTCTTACTCAATAAATAGCTCAGTAAGCGCGCCATAAAATGCTCATTTAATGTTAACTTAGTTGTTTGAAGACTTATTTAATGTTCTTCAATTAATTTTCTTATATCCAATCCAATTCGAAAAATAATGTGTATTGCTAGAGTATTAGTATGGTAAAAATATTGAGCAAAAGGGCACAAGAATAGATTGAATATCAAATTTTATTTTTTATTTAACTATTGAACTTCACAAAACATTAGAAATAATATTGAGTCAACTTCGAGAAAACTTTATGGACATGCTTAGGTTTAGTGACAATTCTATAGGTTTCTTCATTAATATATCACAAGAATAGTTTGAAGCCCTAACTATTCACAAAATTTGATAAGACCCTTGCAGGTCTGCTGTTTGAGCGCCATGTGGCTAGCAATCTAAATGGCAGGAATATTTTGAGCTCGAGCCAGTATATCTTTTTGTAACCAACCATATAGCTTACGCCCACTCAACTACTCAAGACTAATGACAATCAAACAGCTTAGGAGTTTAGTGGATTAAGAGGCTTAAACCACTCTTAGATCGCAACTAAAATGCCCCGCGTTGAGAAGGGTTTAACTACGCCAACTGATTTCCACTTCGGTCCACACTTACGCTGATTAGAATAATGAATCGAAAGAGTCTTCTCAAGATCATAACTTTTGTAAGTAAACAACATCTCAATGTTGGAAAAATACTGGATGTATCAAGAAGAAAAGCACATAAGGGAGAGTGCGGCAACTAACTGTGGAGAAGAGCTTGGCGAGGGATCTGACAGAGCTGGGCTCGAAATCCATGAAAGCAAAGTTGCGACCATTGGCGCGGACGAACTCGACGGCATGGACCTTACCAAGTGGAGAGAAGGTCTTCTCCAAGTCGATGGACGTAACGCCGGCGCCTACCCCGCCGATGAAAATCCTCTTCAACTCCTCATCTGGAAGCTCAACGTCAGAAACTTCTAACTTCTTCTCGGCGATCGCTGCTCCCTTCTCCATGCCAAAACCCCGTTCAACACTAAGACTTTTTCGCCCTATCCAGCCATCGCGCCGCTGTTAAGCCGCCCCCCTTAATTTAGCGAAAGTCGTACGGGAGCCGAACCGAACCCCCTCAAATATTGTGGAATTTACATAAATAACACTAAGATTTTCGTATTTAACATTAAAATTTTATTGTTTATACATATAACACTTTCTTAACTATTTGTAGGGCGTTAATATTCGACACGACACGAAAATTCAACTCGAATTCGACCCAAAATTTTGGGTTTGACCTGACCCGATTTTAAAATAGGTTGGGTTCGGGTTCCAGGATTCGACAAGTTTGAAAAACAGGTCAGGTTCGAGTTGACCTGACGGGTTGCCACGTCAACCCGCGGCTGCCCACACCCTGCTCGTGTAGCTGCCCGCGCGACCGCGCAGCCAACCCGCTGCTCGTGCGCCCGAGGCTGCCCGCGTGCCTGCCTGCACGCACCGGCCGTCCAGGCGTTCTGTAGTCCCGTGTCTGGTCGGGTCAACCCAGCAACCTGACGGGTCGGGTCCGGGTCCTCATTTCTAACCTGCTTACATACTCGGGTCGGGTTAGGATTGACTTGTTTGAACTCGGGTTCAACTCGAAATCCGATTTTGACACCCCTAACTATTCGGATCCCATTGCCATACAAATGGAGGCTTTTTTCGGGGTTTTTTAATGATTTTGCTTTTCAGATTATAATTATATTTTTTTTATCAATTTTTAGTTGCTTTCAAAAAGAATTTATATTAAAATTTTATTTTCTAAAAAAACTTTAAAAATTATTTTCTTTACAATACCTTTACAAAGCTAAAAAACAGACATCCCAAATGAAGCCAAAATCGACATCAGCTGCTCATCCTGGACACTAGAATCCAGTGTTTTGCAAAATAAAGCTCATTCTTTTGTCCCACAAGCTTACATTTTTTTTGTCTGACTCTTCTACCGAGTTTGTTATTTCACAAGAGAGGAGAAGCCTATTGCTCCAACAATCGTGACCATTCCTATGGTGACATCACAACTCCCGCTTCATGGGCCCTAGCGCCCCACCATCGTCCGACCACTATCATTCAATTGCCATCATCTGATCTCCCTGTCTCTATTGTCACCATCTAGTCATTATCACCTAACTGTCATCCTTTATCACTCGCATGATGCATCTTGATTATCACCTCAATTATTTCTCCAACAATTTCACATAAGAGGCCTCCCTTATCTATGTTTGGAGGAGCATATATATTAGATGGAGGTGCATCAAACTCAAATCCCTTATTTATAAAGGAGTTTGACAACATAACATATATTCACAACATGATGGAGTTTATTCATTACAAAATCTGCAATAATTTAGGAGTGATTAATTTGATGACATCCATATAGGGTGCTCTTTTTGTCATGTTAAAGTTCATCCATCATAGCCTCATTAGAATCTCCTTAACATAATCAGTTCAACTCGCCAGTCGTCACTACTCATATTTTGACTCAATAAATAATTTTTTTAGGGGTCATTATAAGTCCAAATCATAAACCGTCTACGCCATAGCAAAGATATCATAGTGCTTTAATCACACTAATTTTTTTATATAATTTTTGGGCATCGATGTAAATCCTTAAGAAATTGATAAATTTTAATACAAAGTGAGAATTTTGGAACAGTCTGTTATCTGTTTTGCAAACCGGTTTCTTCAAAGTGTTCTGAAAATGCTAGGTTATTTTATGGATATTTTTTAAAATAACTTTTAAAGAAAAAAATTATTTAAATTTTGTACATAAAAATTGAATAAATTATATAATTACATTTATATTATATTTATTTCATTCCTAAATATCTAATTCCACGATATAAGCTATTAAAAACATTATTCTCCCTTAATTTGGCTTATGGAGACTTGTAAGGGGAAAATAAGAGAAATATGAGAGGGAGAGGAAAAGAGAAGTTTGTATTTGGAGGCCTTAGAGCCAAATTCGCCAGTTTGTTCTATTGCAAAAGTTGCTCTTCTCATTATAAGGAATGATTATCCTATCGTTGATTTTAATGATTATGTGTATTTTGTATTTTATGCATTTTAATTTAGTTAAAACTTGCAAAAATTGTGATACCTTGATTTTTAGAAAACTTTCACCTCATAACTTTTGGTATGTAATAGATATCATAAATATGAGTATTTTTACAGGAATATAATGATTTTTCACCAATTAAATTGAAAACTATGATTTTAAAAATAAATACATAATATATAAATTTGTTAGATTGCCCAATATTTTATGAATTACTGCATTTCATACATACCACTCATAAAAATGTATTATTTGCATATAAGCAATGGAGGCTGGATGGAAAGTTGATTGTTAACATGAAAGATAAAGACCAATACCAATTGGTTAACACTTGGGCCTAATTAGGACAAATACTCAACTGGGCAATAATTGGAGTTGACTAATACAAATTAATTAACAATTGAGCTTAGATTAAGATTGATATCGAATTGGATAATAATAGGGGTGTACAGATAAAAACACCACATTAAAATTGTTGCATTCATGAATGCATTTACATGATAATACATTAAATTAATTGATATTTTTAAATTAAATTTATAGTCTTTTTTATTGATTTTTCTTATAATTTGATAGATATCTTTTGACTTTACTAGATCATATTAATTTTGTTATTGATTTTTTAAGATTTTATTGCTCATATTAAGTGATAATTGATGTTGATTATAATTGAACATACATATTGATTCTTTTGCCTTACATTGAAAATAGTGATATAATTTTTGTTAATGATTGAGTTTTTATACTCATTATGTGGATTTTTATGATTTTAGGTTAGAGAAGGGATCATGACAACTTGGAGTGATATTAACAGAGATTTTCAGATTTTCTTTTGATATTGTTTATATTTTTTTTTTATTTTATAGTTGGTGGTTTGCGATAAAGTAATAATTGTGTTGATATATAGGATATTATATATTAATTTTAAGAGAATAAATGTAGTGAAATTTTTTTATGTATATGCTTGTTAGTTGTTTAAACTGAATATTTAGATTTATTAAAAAGATATAGAAGCTTTGATTGATTAATTAAAAAGATAAAATAAATAAATTTTTAAAAATTGATTCTAGGACATTACATATTGCCCGATCAAGCCACAATCCCTAAATAACCTTGGAGAACTTGATCTAATCCCATGTTATTGACACCCCTCATGATGTCATAAGAGGTAAACTTTGACACCTTATTTGTGAAAAATTTCCTTTGAAAGATAAAAATTAACTTACTCATTGTAGCTTTTAAAAGGCTTTCATCTTTGATAGATGTTATATATGCTCTGACATCCTATCTTATTAGGGTTTAAGCTGCATGCTATTAATTTTTATGATAGTTCTTATGATCTTTAAAGCATATCAAATACTATAGTACTATCATACATATTCAGTAAGCTTCTAATACACTTCTATATACTCTTACACACAACTCTTAAGTGTCATGCTCGCACCTAATCTTACTTTCTATGGCCAAACTATTTATATTTTCATTGAAAAACTTTATTATCAATCAAGAGATCATGAAGAATACCTAACAGCTTTATAAAATTTGTTAAAATGAGGAAGATACTCTTAAGGTGTATTTTGAAAGATATTTTTTTTGAATCATGTCAAATTTTGAGAGTGAATTTTTAGTTACTAGCTATGAGGTACTTTCTTGGAGATATTTGTCTTATACTTTTTACACCTAATTGATGAGAAATATAATTCTTTCATATGTTATTTTCTTTTTCATAGAGTACAAGCATAAATTTTGTTAATGTGGCAAGTAATGCATATTAGAAGCAGAATGAAAAATTATTTGGCAAACATCATCAAGAATGCATGTGCCTTTATTTTATAAGAATAATATGTAGATCATCATAATATATATGGCAAGATAATCTTTGGAGTTATTGGTACCATTGTAAAAATATTACCAAGCCTATCTATCCTCATGCAAATGCAAATAGACCCAAGGGAATTTAAGTTACTTTTGGCAACTCTAACTATGAAGTAATATGTTATCCACATAAAAATTATCTAATAATCTCAGTTAGAATTGAAATATATACTATCATCAATATGCATATTTTAATTGACATAGGTAATTTTATCGATATTCTATCCTTAACTACCCTCACGAAGATTTTAGTCAGCATAGCTAGTTTTGTGGATATTCTATCCTTAACTACATTCATTAATCTTAAATTACATTGAACTCCAACTTTATTCTAATGATATTCATAATTTTAGTGATCACACTATAAAATTTAGTAGCACTATCACCTTCTTTATCACCTTATGTGAGCTGCATGCATTATAATTAACTATTTTGATTCTATTAATATTAATCATTACTAGATCAATCTATGATGCAATATTTGATCAACAATTATTATTCAGCTTTTAAGGTGGTTACATCTATCCTCCATTTAAAAATCACTTTCCCCGCTATTATGCGTATTGAAGAAATAAGGGAAGATTAGTTAATAGAATTGAAGCCTTAATTGATAATCAATGGCTGAGATAAAAATTGTATTTTATACGAAGTTCATATTGGTCATTTAAACTCCTAACTAAGAGATCTTGAGTTTAAATTTTATGTATATGATGTGCGTTTAAGTTTATTTTAATTGACCTAAATGTAAAAAATAATATTTTAATAGATAAAAAATCATATTAGCCGGACAAAATGACCATGTGAAAAATAGAGACAAGAATCTTTTATTTATGAGTCATCCGTTTGTTATTTTGTTACAAGTAATATGATTTTGAGATCAGGTGTAGCTTTCCATCATCTCCGTGAGGAACTTTGGCATTGTGATTCCCAATCGCTCGTGCGCAAGCATACTCTTCTGAAACTTTTAAAATTATTGTAACTGTTCGCTAGCGTGCGTCCTTATCAGCCGGGCTGTCACCAACCCCATACGCGAAGAACGCCCGTCCCAAGCCGCTCAAATTCAAAATATAAATCTTGTTCGGACACCCTCAATCCGCTGCACCGCAAATGTTATTTCGCCACGCGTAATTGAAGACACGTGGTATGAATGGGAAGGTTGACTGTAAAACTCCAGAGGAAGAGGGGGAGCAGATGCGAGCACTAAAAGACATCGCCCATCGGTAATCGGACTCCGGCAAAAGTTCTAATTTATTGTAAGGGAAATAAAGACAACCGAAAGCTCGAAGCTTTTTACTTCGTTCCGGCAAATCCCAAACGGTGGGGAGAGAAAGCTCGAATCTTGCACTTCGTTCCAGCAATTCCCCAACCATGGGGAGAGAAAACTCGAAGCTTTCACTCGTTTTTGGGGAAGATCTCTTCGTATTTGACGGCAAGTGGCCGAGGAGCTGCTGAAGTTGCTGTTGATTTGTTTTTTTGTTTTTGTTTTTTCAAGTATTAGGTTGAGATTTCTTCATCTGATTCTGTTATTATTATTATTTATGAAGCCCGCCGCTTTTTTGAATTTTGAATCCGTGGGTTAATCTGTGGTGCAGTGGACTATGAACTGTAGGTCCTCTTCTCCACTCTTCTTTTAACTCAGCTGCCGCGGCTGCTTCCTGCCATCGAAGGTTTATTAGTAAGTTTCTTTCTTTCTCCTCCTTTTTGCTTTAGATTTCAGGGCTTTATAATAAAACTCTCTGTTTTCTTCATTTCCAACCGCGGAATCTTGCTTAGCCTGGATCTTTTTTACCCGTTCATTGTCGCGCAAAAGGGGTAAGAAGAGATGTGAAAAGTTGACCCTTTTTGGATGAATCGGGACTTCTAAAAATGACAAGATTTCTCCCTTTTTTATATGCATTCAACCTGTTCTCCTCTAAAGTCACCACAGCTCTCATCAGTAAAGCCTAAATTCCATTTTTTTGTTCCTCTTTTGTCGACATCAGTTGGTTTTGGTGGAGATGAGTGTGCTTATTACTGAAACATGCGTTATTTGGTTCGTGTTTTTTACTTGATTGCTTGGCTTTTGTTGCATTTTTGGCTCGAGTAAATCCTTTGAACTATTGCTTGGGGCTTTTTTCTTTCAGCCTTCATGTAACCATTTTACTGCCTTGGAAAGTATATATTCATTCCTTTCCAGTAGAAGATTTCTACTAAATTACTAAGCGCATTAGTGTTTCTTCTTACAACTCTGATGGAGATGAATTTTTTCAAGCGAATTCATTGATGGTTTCATTATGTTCTCTTGGCGCAGGGAGTTTGATGTGAGGGATCCATGGACACAAAGCTTTATGACTAGAGAAGGTGTGTGCTGCCCCCTCCCTGTTCTGTGGAACTGAAAATAAGATTACACTAACTTCTGAAGTTCATGGCTGGAAGGGAAAAGCCCACTAGTCTTTCCATATTCGAGCTTGAAAAGGATGTAAGTTTTAATTCTCAAGTTTTTTCTCCTCTCGCCTGTTGCTGTTCTTCAATTTTTTCACCTTGAAGTGTTAGATTGCTCATCATAAAAGGAGAGAGTTGAGACATTTTCTCACTTTCTCTTGGTTAATTTCCTGGATATGCATATTTGATGAACTCACGCAATATTCTTGCTGTTATTATAAAACTTTTATTGTTACTTGATCTTGATTCTTTAGTTCATGAATGTGATTAATGCCAAGAGTTTAGATATGCTTTGATTAAAATAGTCTCTTGAAAATAGAAGAAATGGTAACAAGACTGTAACTGTATGCAATTGCTTAGGGCATCTCCAACCAAAAACCCATTTTCCACTCCAAAATGCATTAATTCATCTCCAATCAAACTCTATTTCTTTCTCCTTTTTCGCACGCTTCTTTGGCAAATCCCGTAACACAAAAAATTGACGTAGGTGAACAGTGTGACACCAATATCGGTTGGAGATGGTCTTAGCATTTGGAAAAAAAAAACTTTTTTTCTGACTACTTTGGTAGCTAATCTATAACAGTTTGACTTGCTATATATATATATATATATATATAAACTTGCATGGCATCGCTTTTGGAAATCCTTTAACTAAGCATGTACACTTTTTACATGCCTTATATTTTGGCATAAAATTTCAGGTCCTGAATCTCCAACTATTGCTGCAAGAAGAAATCAAGTTGCATGTGATTCTTGAAAAGGCTGTAGAGGAAGCTGCATTTGAACTATCTGATCTATCATGTCTCCCAAAAGATGTGCGTTCCAAAATGTGTATGTTAATGATTATTACTTATAAGGCATCAAAATGTGACCATTGCAACAATAATATGAAGCCAATGTTGTGTGATGTTATTTTAAGTTAAATCATGTGTGCTTGAAATCTTGTCCTTGTCTTCGGTTACTTTCCTATTGGTTTTATCATATCTATTGGTTTTTTCTTCAACCACTCAGTAAAATTTTGGAACACAAATACATTTCTATATTTTTTTCCACCAATTTAACGTAAATATTTAGTTGATGTCAAAACTTAAAAAGCTAGAGTTTGTCTTTCAGAAACCTTTTTCCCAAATATTGTTTAGCTTCACTTTATGTGCATCAACTCCATTTTGGTACTTTCTTGAAGGGAGTTTTCAGTGAAAATTACAGAGAACAGCTTCAGAATCTACTACTTTTTTACTTTTAATTTAATATCTTGTGAACCAAACTCTAAAGCAATTTTTTACTTGTCTTCCTTCCAAAAATATTTTCTCACGTAAATCATTTTTTTTTTTTCCTTTTGCTACCTAGAAACCTTTCTGACACTATTTTCATTGGAAAGGGTAATAAATATATTTTGGTTATTTACTTTACTCAATGGAGGTATTGCATGCTAATTGTAGTTGTCGTGATTAATGCTACCTGTAGGCACAGGAACTTTTGTCTAACATTTCAACCTTGGAGAGTACTGTAGGAAAACTTGAGGAAGAGATGATTTCTTTAAGTTTTCAGCTAATTCAAGAACGAAATGAGAGAAGGCTTGCTGAATATCAGCTAAAACAATTGCCAGGATCTCCACAGATTGCATGCCCCATTGCACAGGTAAAGGTCCCTACAAAATTACTTCAACACCTATGGGTTATTGTATTATTTGTAGTTATTTTAGTGCATATAATTTTTTTGGCCATATGCATTGTAGTTGAACTCATAGAAGACAATCACTTGAGGACCTGAGGTCATAGCTTATCTCTTCAAAATGACAATAAGAAATGGGTGAAACTAATCTTGTCTGCTATTTCAAAAAATAAACATAAAAGCGTTACTTGAGGGCAATGTTTAAAATTGCGTATTCAAGTATTGAGGCGTTTTTCATTCGTGAGGCGAGGCGTAAGCCTCAAAATCAAAAGATTGCCTAAACATAAAATGATAAATTTTTGATATACTAATGAGTGAATAATATAAAACATAAAAAAGCATAAGATATGAAGTGAAATCAAAATATCTCAATAATAAGACAACATGAAATATAGTTCAACTCAAAATTCTATCTTTCCCAAATCCCAGTATTCTTTTCATTAACATATAATTCCAATTTCAAAAAATAAATAACAATGACATATCACATAAGAACTCATAAGTCATCAACACTGTCATCACTAAGGGGTTCTTCATTTGAATCATAATTATGATGAACTGCTCTCTCCCCTTCCTCCTCTCCTGTAGAGTCCAATGTCGGGCATTACTTCAAGATTTATACAAGTTTTAATATATATAGCGTGAGGCGAGGTGGGCCTCAACCCAGTTGAGGCGCAAGCCTCATAAAAAACACTTGAGGCGTAAGCATCGAGACGTTTTTTACTGGAGTTGCGCAAAGGCAGGCCTCAAGGTGAGCCTCATATTGTGCAATTTTAAACCATGCTTGAGGGACTTGATTTACATAAAGTTATGCTTAAAATAAAATGTGTACAAAATTTCTCGAACTCCAATTAACAAAATAATTTTATTTGACAAATGCCTATCTTATCCTCTCTCACTCTCTTTATATCATTTAAAAAAATTATCATTTCATAGTGCTAGCGCACAAGGTTGCTACTATGCTAACAATACTTATGTTGATAGGCCGCCACTGTTGTTGTAGTAAATTATGATGTTTGGCGCCAAAAAATAAAATCATTAGGGTAATGTTTGTTAGCCGACAAACTCTTACTAGCCATAGTTATTTCGATTATATATATATATATATATA